TTTAATACAAATGAAGGAATAAAACTAAGTACAAAATCGGACATGTATTATAATTAAAATCAAGGAGTATTATCCTCTCTCTCTCTCTCTCTCTCTCTCTCTCTCTCTCTCTCTCTCTCTCTCTCTCTCTCTCTCTCTCTCTCTCTCTCTCTCTCTCTCTCTCTCTCTCTCTCTCTCTCTCTCTCTCTCTCATATCCTGTTTACATTGACTACGGTACGTATAAAATGCCTTGCTTTAAGCTCTGTGGAGTATGATTAATGTTTGCTAGCCCTTGGTTCCGATGGTTTACGAGACATGGAAATTACGCTTAGACATAATTGCCTTTGCAGCACGGTTTATGCTCAAAAGATTTTAAAAGTTCACTGCCTGTTTTATTCATAAGTGCCGGTGTTGACAGAAATATTTTCCTGTGGAATATTTTTTGCGTTGCACACGAAGTTAACGCCAAATAAAAATACATTGCGTTAACTTCGTGTGGAAACACGCTTCTTAACGTTTCTCTTTTTGAAGAAATGGTAATTATGTTCTAATGCAAAATTCATATCTGTAATTCAACTCTAGTCTGTATTTTTAATCAAAATGACACGACGTGTGATAAATCAGAAATTCTCCAGCTTCGTTTTTTTTCATTTCTGAGAATAATTCTAAATGTAGTCAATTTTCATTTGACACAAATTGATGTTGCGTTTTACCCTATTTATCGCATTCTCACAGTGCTAGTTAGCAAGTAAAATCATTACTGCCGTGACAGTTTTACAGTTTTTCCGTACCCGCTTATCTCCATGGCAAACGGCGTGTTTGTTTACTCTCCTCCATGCTATCTTCCTAGCGGGCACCTGTTGAACTTAGAGCGATTTTTTTCATTGCCGACAAGTTCTGTATGGAGATCCAGTGACAAGTGGGGGGAACCTATGAAATAACGTTCTCGCCACATTCGTAGGCATTCTCGCATGACGTCAAACGGTGTGCACATATGACATATATACCACATCTACACATGATCTAGTACAACATACTGAGTACAGAGGATGTGTGTGTGTGTGTGTATTGGGTGGGGGGCCTACAAGCGACTATAAAGACATTTCAATTTAATAACTCATTTCGCGCTTGAATCGGCGCTTGCTGTTATTTGTCCATTAGACATGATTTGGCCGTGTTATTATTTTATTGTATACTAGAGTTTTTTTACATTCTGTTTTCTTTATTTGCTTATTTTTATTATCTTTATTCTATGCGCTGACACTTTATTCCATAGGATCATGTTCTTTTCTTGTATTTCTATTGGTGTTGTTGTTTTGAGGAGAGGGTGTTGGCTTTTGGAAAAAAAACATAAAACCTTTAATATTACGAAAATATTATCTATGCAAAAATAGAAGGATGCGGTTAAAAGTGTAAACGACGATATCGAGTGGTACGGGACTGGTGAAAAAGGAAGTGTGTAAAAAACAGCCTCAAAGCAATCTTAAGAGAGAGTTCAAGAAGTTGGGGAAAGAAAAGGGCTTTCTGATAAATCAAACGACACATTGAGGGTTTGGTGTGGGACAAAGAACACGATTGAGATTCAAAGTTAAGACTACACATTGATCAAGATTGGACCGGTGTTTTTTGGTCTTCTAAAGAGGCGCATTTCAGTTGGTATGGAGTTAGAAGACGGGAAGACTGAAATACGAGATTTAAAACAAGTTCTAAAGATTTAACTGAAAGACGATCTGAGCTTGTGTAAAAAAATCTGCCACCACCAGCAAGACGACTACTTTCAACAGAAAAAAACACAGCCCTGTGATACATCGCATTATTTTTTACCAGAACGAAAACCATTTCCATTTCCTCACTAGATCTAAGTTGGCAATTTAGTAGTGTGTTACCATGTCAATAAACGCGAGGGAAACTGGCGCTGAACAAAATGGCCCATCTTTGATCTCAAAGCTTACAGGCCCCGACTAAAATTGAGCTATTTGATACCTCTAGCTGCACATGAAGGCTAAACTTTTGTACCCTCGAGGCTAGAGAGTTCTTTTCTATAGCCTCGAAACGGAGTGTTTTACCACGTCCTTGGTGAACCCTTCAGCGCAGTGGGGGGCCCTCAAGAGAATTTGATTATCAACATGTTGTTTTAATGTCTTAATGCGCCTTTCCTGAGGTTATTGATACAAAAGGACATACTCTGTCGACACCTCTCCTATATTTTGTTGGTTTGTTTGTATATTATACGGATATTGATTTCTGCATGAAGACATAACATATGTTCGTCTTACACGATCAAAATAGCTGAAAAGAATAATTCTCGTCGCTATTCAGACATCATAAGCGTCTTAAAGGGTATTGAATTAAGGTTAGGAAAATAATTCAATACATGGTGAGTGGCAGTCGGTGCGTTAAAGATTAAATTCTAAACTCTTTGTAAGAAAAACATACATCTATATAACTTAAAAATCGACAGCAGATCAACAGGTCACATTTATCTCTTTTACAAATACTGCATTTTCTTAAAATATTTTTGTAACATTTTCATATCTTTTATCTATTAGAAAAGCTTAAATTGTTTCTTAATGCATCCTTGAGTAGTTAAGTGAACGCATGCATGCATTCTTTCATGACAAGTGAATGGATATTCCTTCAACTCAACGTGCATTTTTTAAAAATCAGAATGTTTAAAAAATGAAGCACATTATTCATATATAAAACTAATTACTGCAACAGACACTAGCGCGATTGTTATCGACCGTGACACACTTTCCTTAATGGGAAACGTAATAATATGAAGAATGTTTGTACATGAATCTGATGTATATAAAGCACACATGATCTGTTCAGAAACATGATAAGAAAGCTTGATGTTCACTCCTATTTGCAGCAACAACTCTCTGTTGCGGATGCTTTCATTCAAGCTAAACGGTCCGGATATAAACACATTGTTCCTGAATAATGTGCTTTATACAGGGGGTCGTCTCAGCAAGAGATCGAGAAATTCATACAGAAAATATCCTAACGTACTGAATGACCTTATACTGGAATGTATGAATAACAAGACATGCACGTACCAGGTTGTAGCAAGAGACAGTGAGTGAGTTGGGTTGAACCCTTCTTTTAACAGCATTCCAATTTCAACAGGTGTTTGTTTAATGAGTGAGGAAAACCCGAAGTGATGCAGGTCTTAGACGTTTACGACATTGGCGAAACCCACGAGCAAACCCCGGACAAAACTACAAACATGATCGGTTCGACCTGGGACTAGAACCCACGAGCACACCCCGGATAACCTACAAACATGATCGGTCGACCTGGGACTAGAACCCACGAGCACACCCCGGACAAACCTACAAACATGATCAAACATGATCGTCGACCTGGGACTAGAACCCACGAGCACACCCCGGACAAACTCTACAAACATGATCGGTCGACCTGGGACTAGAACCCACGAGCACACCCCGGACAAACCTACAAACATGATCGGTCGACCTGGGACTAGAACCCACGAGCACACCCCGGACAAACCTACAAACATGATCATGATCGGTCGACCTGGGACTAGAACCCACGAGCACACCCCGGACAAACCTACAAACATGATCGGGTCAACCTGGGACTAGAACCCACGAGCACACCCCGGACAAACCTACAAACATGATCGGTCAACCTGGGACTAGAACCCACGAGCAAACCCCGGACAAACCTACAAACATGATCGGTCAACCTGGGACTAGAACCCACGAGCACACCCCGGACAAACCTACAAACATGATCGGGTCAACCTGGGACTAGAACCCACGAGCACACCCCGGACAAACCTACAAACATGATCGGGTCAACCTGGGACTAGAACCCACGAGCACACCCCGGACAAACCTACAAACATGATCGGGTCAACCTGGGACTAGAACCCACGAGCACACCCCGGACAAACCTACAAACATGATCGGGTCAACCTGGGACTAGAACCCACGAGCACACCCCGGACAAACCTACAAACATGATCGGGTCAACCTGGGACTAGAACCCACGAGCACACCCCGGACAAACCTACAAACATGATCGGGTCAACCTGGGACTAGAACCCACGAGCACACCCCGGACAAACCTACAAACATGATCGGGTCAACCTGGGACTACAACCCACGAGCACACCCCGGACAAACCTACAAACATGATCGGGTCAATCTGGGACTAGAACCCACGAGCATAGGTTTCAGGTGTAACCAAGGAACTCAACTCTTAACAACACCTCTTAACCTCGATACGTTTTCAGAACAGACATAATTAGTTTCAGTTGCCTTTAAAAGGTTTTTTAAAATATTCTTCTGACAATTACCAATTATTTACATATTCTTCACGACTGGCCGTTCCCCATTCTGTTTGGGCTTACTAATGATCCAGGACAAAGTTTGAATTTTGACTGAGATCAAGTTGAAAAGAAGAATGTTTACATTGCACTGCTGTCTGAATCTTAGACTTCTGTCTTATCTCTGAATAAAATTTCCTTCCAGATGTTTTTTTTTATCATTGTTGTTATTTTAGCCTCACCTCTTTAATTGGTGTTTGCATGTTCGAAACCTGCAAGTGTTGAAAGTGTAAAATCTAAATCAGATTCATATGAATTGAAATTACGATTTCTTACATGATATACAAGTGTTTTATCCTTACTTCGCTCTTTGGACAAGAGAACAGACAGTTATAGCTTGTGGGGCATCTTGTTCGTATTTTAAGTTGTGCAGGTAATTACTTCACTATGTTATCACTTAGATATAACGTGGCTGTTATTTTCACAATAGAGAATATAACTTAATCATCGTGGATGACGCCAGGAAATGAAACGATGGTCAAAGGGAAGTAACTCGCTTATCAAAACCATTCATCGGTAGAGCGCCCGAACCTGTATATGCAGTGTAATTGTGGATGTGTTATTGTGTATGTGTCATTAATGACTTAAAAATTAAAACAGACATCTTCTGTCTGTACTGACATGTATAGTAGAAATAAATGACACATTTAAATGTACCTTATACTGGAATGTATGACAGCTCACGGAGAGAGGTGATGATGCCCATGTGATCTGTTCCCAGCCTGGTCTAAGGGAGGTAATTCTGCAGTTCAGCGGTAGAGCGGGCGAGTTGGTTTCATCAGGGATAATCTACTACGTCTTCTGTTCTCCCTGGTTTCATTATGTTCAGTGAATATCATGGTATAATAACACAATGGGGGAAGGAAGCAGTGTTTAGTAAAATTAGCAACATTTTAACATCCTATGCTTTATCTATTTGTTTATGATTTTTTATTTATTTCATCATATGTAGGCACGCTGTATGTATACAGAAATACGGATTGTTACTAATATATTTTGAAATTGTTCAGTTAGATAGTTTCTTGACAGCCCTGTCAGTTTATCTCCCACTGCTTCTAATGTGCTTCCTGTATTCTAATGTGACCTCAATGTTTTCGTAGACCAAACGTTCTTTCGGAATCTGTGGCATCTTAGATGTGTACCACAAGGTCTCTGTCAAATGAATATATTTTCAAAAGATGCACGAGGGTTAAGAATATATGATAATAAAGAGTCCGTGGGCTTTACACACAGTTACCATATGGGGGAATCGAACCCGATCTTCGGCGCGATGAGTAAACGCTTTAACCACTATGCTAACCGCCCGATATTACAGATGGAGTATTGGATAACTGTCGGGCGTACACAGTATGTTGGAGTATTTCTATGCAACTCTTGCATACTTGCGTTTTATTAAACGTTTTCAGTAAGCAAAGCCACGGTATGCATATCAGCATACTAATTAGATTTATGGATGTTATAAAATATATTTAGCGTAGATCTATGATAATGTGTTTGTTGTACTTGTCAAACGTTACACTGGTGGTAATCAAAGAACATTAATAAGGATTGTCAGAGTAGATCTGGATTATAATTGGTCCTTCGCAAATTATGCTTGTTCGTTGTCAGGGGAAACGTAAGCTTGTTGTATTGTAAGACTGACGTGATTGGGTACCAGGCTGGCTGACATATTTGATTCAGGGCATCATATCCTTGTTGCACAGATTGATGCTCATGATGTCCATCACTATTTACAAATTGCTGTGTTAATCAACAAGCAAAATATTTGCAATAGCACACCTTTAGAGACTGACATAACATCTTCAAGAGAGAAGCAGATCACAGGGTTTTTTCTACTTTTCTGTGTGGTGGTGGGGAGATGGGACAAAGAATATATTTGTTAGGCCTACCAGTCGTATACTAGTGTGTTAGTGTGTGTGTGTGTTAGTGTGTTAGTGTGTGTGTGTCTGTGTGTAAAACTGGGTTTCACGCCCCCAAGCAAGCCCGAGACTCTGATATGGGTGATTACCCCTGACTACTGACACTGCAATGTTTATCTCATGCTTAAAAAAAAAGATTTTCTTTGGAATGATTAGACCACTTTGCATCTTACAGTTTATCCTTTTTTTCAAATAGAAACTATGTTTAAAATTTCATTAGTTCCATGACACAGGTTCAGTTGGCCATGCTTGATAATTGACATTGAATGAAGGAGCCGAGTTCTGTGTAAAAACTACAAAGTGTTTACCATCACAACTGTTAACACTAAACATAACTGCCACCTAACTATTGAGAAATGTGTGACAAACCTGTTATTATGCAGCCTTTTTCAAAACCCTTTAGAAATGAATAACACCTCACTGAAACATAAGAACCGACATTCTGGAAAATAAAACACAGCACCAACTGCTTCTCTTGTGATTTTATTTTTGAAATGTATCAACATGTAAAGCAACCCTTCCTGGCTGTCAACATCACAAAGTTTGGCCTTTCACATACAGACTCAAGAATCATTCCTCAAACGATGATGAAATAAACACCCCATCTGTATAACCATTAATCAAAGCAAGTTTATTACTCCACATTGTCAAAGCAGCAGCTGGAGACAGAAACATTCCACAAAAAGCCACTGCCCTATTCCAAGGTTCCTCAACCATGTTCTCTGATGGCCTGCTTTACCATGTTCTCTGATGGCCTGCTTTACCATGTTCTCTGATGGCCTGCTTTACCATGTTCTCTGATGGCCTGCTTTACCATGTTCTCTGATGGCCTGCTTTACCATGTACACTGTATGGCCAGCTAGACACATTATCTGCCACCACTATGTGCACTGGTTGGGAAATGCAATACTGACATGTATTTCAACACATTTCTCACGCAAATATACAATGCCAACCCTTGTATACTTTTATGAAGAATGATCAGCAAAGGTCAACATCGATGAAAAAATATGCAACTGATCAATCAGTGGAATGCATTACTACACTTGAAAACATTCTGATACAATTTACATCTTCATACATTCTGACACATCTAGCAATAAATCATGTATATCATGGAATATTTGTGTTCAAAGAAAATATATTCCAAAGCTGATATGACTTGAATTCTCTCCCTTAGTCACATTAAGTAGACTCCAGTAGTGATGTGATCAGCATCACAGAGTGGGATACACATTATGTAACCCTTATTACTCAAGGCTTTAGGATTCCTAGTTTGTCCTTGTGACCCAAACACATTCATTGGGTGCTAGCAGGTCTTGGCCTGTAGATGTTACTTTTAACATATTTATTAATACAGGCATTTTATTTTGGTCATATATATCACATATATGATTATCAAAGAAATAGAACATTCAATATAGGGCTAGTTATCTCATATCTTATTACAAATTATTTTCATATATATATACATATAAATATATACACATAGATATACTACACAACTTTTGATAGGGATAAGGATACACAAAACTGTCACATTATTTTCAAATGAATAACATTTTATCCCTATCAATGGGGAGTAGCATACTTCTTTGTGACAAAACTGTCCACGAATAACTATGTACAATATTTATATAAGAAATATTTCTTCACTGTCAGACTTATTTTTCAAAGCCCCTTGTGTCTGTCAATTTGGACAGGAATCTAACTCCGGTAACACCAGCCTTATTCTATCTTCCCTCATTACTATTTGTTTGTCTGTTAAACACCACTCAGCATGACAGCAGCTAGACTAAGGCTTAGTTTCTGAATATATATAATTTTGTTTGATAGTAACAAACAAGCCCATTTATATTGAAAAGGAGCCCTAGGGAGACCAGAGATTCAGAACCTGAAGAAATCTAGACTTGCTTTATTTAGGGCTTTAGCACTGCAGAGAGGGCTTGGCAGTAGGGAAATTAATGTGGTTCAGGGACTATGAGACAGACTAGACAGCAGCCTGTAAATGACCAGTCTGGACCAGACAATCCAGTGATTGACCTCATGAGCATCAATCTACGCAACTGTCGCCTTGTACAACAAGCATGGGTTGCTGAAAACCAGTTCTATCCCGGATCTTTACTGGTCTGTTATTACTGTAGTACAGTGTAAGTACATAGAGGAGGACTGGCAGATGGGTTATGTACAGGTCTATATCAGCTAACAGTAGATTATGTATATATCACAGTGAAATTCTTATATACAGAATTCAGCCTCACAAAGTAGGACTAGTTGTGTAGTCGGGTGGGGGTTGATGAATGGATAGTCAGGTGGGTTGTCACTGATTGTCTATCCAAAACAAAATTCAGGTTGGTAGTCTGATCAAAATAAAATATTTCCAACTCAAAATGTTTTCAGTTTCCTCAAAATATTATATCGGTTGTATATTTTAAATGAAAAATAAAGGAGAGGCACAAGGTTTCCCAATTTACAGCAGGTTTTCAGTGCAATTCTTTGCATAACATATTTATGTTGATAGCAAATGCAAATTAAGCTTTTTTGCAAACATTTTACATATTTTTGGTCTGCCAAATACGAAGCTCAGAGCTTTTCACTTACCCCAGTATTAATATGTTTACATTTAAATCTTTTGTAATTGGCATATTTGAAAATACAGTTTTATTTACTTTATAGTATAGTTTTTAAATAAGTCTTGAGTCAAGGTGTCAAAAGGTTTCTGTGTATACATCATCATATCCTTATATGGACAAGAGACTAACTAAGGAACACTACCATGTTCATAGTCCAGTATTTCAACATATACAGCCTTCCTGTATACAGCCTTCCTCGGGTGGAACTTGTTACACTTGACCCATGATTCAAACAAGGCCAATAACGCATGTATTCTGTCTGTCACTGGGGCATCTCTTTCAGCTACTTAGGGACCAGTTATGTATTACAGGGAGGCGGATGATGTGAACTTTTTTTATTCATCCATTCTCTACATTTGTGCGAACTGGACACACATTTGCGTGTCGAATAAAACTGCAAATATTTGGCAAATATAAAGTGCTTTTGCATTTTGTCTTTTCAGTAAGGGTAAGGAAAAACTGGATCCAGGACAATGGGAGGGTCTTCCAAAAATATGACAAGCACTAAGAGTGCTTTACTATTTTCAGTGTAGTAGTACATCAAAGACCCTGACCAACCCATCCCTGTAATTAATGACTGGTCCCTGAGGGGGGAAACGGTACAATGTGTAGGTTATTACAGACCTTATGCACTGACCCAAATAAACATATTATACCTCTGATAATAGGGTTTAACATTTGGCTAGATCAGCTGGTGAGTATTTATGTTCATAATTTATGTTCATAAAATCCAAGTTACTACAGCTGATACAAACCGTGCCACAGCAATCATTTGGAATTGTACAGCAACTTTACCATATTCTCCAAAAATAATTTGACGTCATGTTACAAGTGCCTGCTCCATACATACCAAACCAAATTCCCTTTCAATTATTTTATGTCGTGTGTAAAACGAATGAATTATATTATATAAATCAAGAAAACAATTGCAGTCAATTGTGTTTTTCAAGAGGTGATTCAAAGGACGGATTTGGTAGCAAATATCTAGTAAATTGGCAACTCTGTAAAGTATTGTGTAGTTAATTGGAATATATATCATTGTGTTTACAGCAGAAATGTAAGGGGTGAGGAGTGATATTTTTGTTTTAAAAAACACTTCATCAGAAATTGCTGATGGAAACAGCATGGAAAGATATATTACATGTTACACCTCCTTGTCTAGAAATAATATGATATCATGTTTATGACATTCAAATACAAATATGGATGTACATTTCTCTGAGGTAAAACTATGTAAAGACCTTCCCAAAGCACTTTATGTACAGAGGTTTGAGATTGCATAAATATTCCAATAAATCTATATGATCAAATTATAACAGGATTCATTATTAATCACTCTTGATATATGAAACTAGTATATTTGCTGATAAAAATATTGCCAAAGATCTGTTTCTCACCAATTTCCATACTGACCAGAAAAAGGCTCATAATGCCTATCACTGGATTGTCTGGTCCAGTCTCAGTTATTTACACATCACTGCCATATTGCTCGAATACCACTGAGGGCAGCGTTAAACAACAAAAGAATAATTTTTACAACAAAGTGAAAAATGGCCACAGTTAAGTGTACAGAACACCTAAAAATGTTTTTTAATGTTTCCTTCATTCAGTAGAATTTGTCACGCTATGATTAATATAGAAACCAGATGTATAGCTACATATCCACCTAATATGTTAGCTCTCTTGCCATGGAAGTTAATGAGAACTAATTCAGCTAACTGAACAATATTTTCAGAATATATAGAAAAACAACTCCAAAGGCCTCTGACCAAAGGCTTCACAAAGCTAAGTTCCATTTCTACCGTACACATCCTCATAATGTGTCAGCCCTCTGGGTCGTACAGTTTAGTGGCAGAAGACTTTCATTCATGTTTTCATTCATTGCCCAAATACTTCAAATTCTGAAGAAATCTATGGACAGAAAATGAACACCATGCCTTGCCATGAGCTCGCTGGGGCTTCCACTTTCTAGTCCTCGCGAGCTGAAAGTCTCCCCAATTTCTTCACTATAAGAATAAATCCTATTTTATACAGGAAGATTGTCATGTCCACAACCATGTGAATCTTTTCTCAAATCCAGACAATAAAGTTTGAAGGTGACACAATTCGGTGTCACCATGACTCCCTGGGAAACATACAGTGTATCACATTGACTATTTAGGTAAAACACAAGGTGTCACAATGAGTCCCTCGTTATACACAATGTATCACATTGACTATTTAGGTAAAACACAAGGTGTCACAATGAGTCCCTGGTTTTACACAATGTATCACATTGACTATTTAGGTAAAACACAAGGTGTCACAATGACTCCCTGGTTATACACAATGTATCACATTGACTACTTAGGTAAAACACAAGGTGTCACAATGAGTCCCTGGTTATACACAATGTATCACATTGACTACTCAGGTAAAACACAAGGTGTCACAATGAGTCCCTGGTTATACACAATGTATCACATTGACTATTTAGGTAAAACACAAGGTGTCACAATGACTCCCTGGTTATACACAATGTATCACATTGACTACTCAGGTAAAACACAAGGTGTCACAATGAGTCCCTCGTTATACACAATGTATCACATTGACTACTCAGGTAAAACACAAGGTGTCACAATGAGTCCCTCGTTATACACAATGTATCACATTGACTATTTAGGTAAAACACAAGGTGTCACAATGACTCCCTGGTTATACACAATGTATCACATTGACTACTCAGGTAAAACACAAGGTGTCACAATGAGTCCCTCGTTATACACAATGGTTATACACAATGTATCATCACATTGACTACTTAGGTAAAACACAAGGTGTCACAATGAGTCCCTCGTTATACACAATGTATCACATTGACTATTTAGGTAAAACACAAGGTGTCACAATGACTCCCTGGTTATACACAATGTATCACATTGACTACTCAGGTAAAACACAAGGTGTCACAATGAGTCCCTGGTTATACACAATGTATCACATTGACTACTTAGGTAAAACACACAAGGTGTCACAATGATCTCCCTGGTCACAATATACACAATGTATCACATTGACTACTTAGGTAAAACACAAGGTGTCACAATGAGTCCCTCGTTATACACAATGTATCACATTGACTACTTAGGTAAGGTAAAACACAAGGTGTCACAATGACTCCCTGGTTATACACAATGTATCACATTGACTACTCAGGTAAAACACAAGGTGTCACAATGAGTCCCTGGTTATACACAATGTATCACATTGACTACTTAGGTAAAACACAAGGTGTCACAATGAGTCCCTGGTTATACACAATGTATCACATTGACTACTCAGGTAAAACACAAGGTGTCACAATGAGTCCCTCGTTATACACAATGTATCACATTGACTACTTAGGTAAAACACAAGGTGTCACAATGACTCCCTGGTTATACACAATGTATCACATTGACTACTCAGGTAAAACACAAGGTGTTACAATGAGTCCCTGGTTATATACAAGGAGTCGCAGTGACGCCTTGGGTTGCACCTAAGTTGTATACTGAATTGTTCAAAGTAAACAACAGGTATGTATCATTAGCTATAAAACATCAGCGCACTTGTTTCAACCAATCACCGTCATCACGCAATAGTTTCATGACTGACACAGCGCAGTGTTGTCCCCCAACCTTGAACACATCAACTCTGTTCCGACCTAACAACACAATTACACAACAACTTCCTGTCCAGCAATCAGCCCTGTATATATCTACCCGTCCAAATGCATCACTTTATACACCAGATGAACCAACAATAATTAAAACAAGTGTGTGCTAGTCCTCTAAAATCGACTCCTGTCAGTGACTTGATTGGCTTGACTGGCGAGACCTTTCTTAGCAGCTTGGTGTATGCGACTGTCGAGTTTATCTGAAAATATAATACCTCATATAATTGATAAAAATATCTAAAAAGTCTTTCAACAAAATATGCAGGAGTTTTTCATGATGATATGTTATTATACACAACACAATATCTGTTCATATCACAATAGTCGATAAATGGGGATTCTGTGACTGGACTGATTGAACAATACAAAACACAATAAGCCAGGTGATACAAGCACCCAATCCACCATGAAGCATGGGGCACATGAAGTATGGGGCACATGAAGCACAGTATACAACAAGTTCTGTAAGGACTTTAGACACTACTCACATATTTTGTGTTTTCCCCTGATTGGAAATTTGACGATTAGCTCCTGTGGGTTCTCACAGATGAACACATACGGTGAGGCAGACTCGCCATCTGGAAACTGAAGAATGGAAGCAGCATAATGAGGTCATAATCTTTTAAGAAAAACACAAGCACAAGATAAATTGTATGAAACCCTGGGCGAATGTGTAACACAGCTAGTCTGCTTGATATGGGAGTAAAGCCTAAAGTGATGCAAGTGTTAGATATTTATCACTTTGGGAAACCCATTCTCTTCCCACAGAGGTTACTCCTGTCATATCTTCCTACGTAATATGACAGGAGTAACCTCTGTGGGAAGAGAATGTGGGAAACCCTGAATAGATCATATATAACTTCCTATATACTCAATCCCAGTACCAAGGAAGCTTAACCCAAATTAGAAATGGCCAACCTGAGCTATATCCCGGAAACGGGTACCCCAACCCTGCACTAGTAACAGGATACCTGGATCCAGTCCTAGAAATGGGATATCTTGATCCTGTTCCAGTAATGGGGTAACTCAACCTGCCCTCTACCGTGGTACTCCACCAAGCCCATGTAGCTAGCCCCACTGCATACCTGCTGACTGTACTCCTCCTGAGAGAGACAGTCCACAACATCCACACAGCCCAGGAGACAGCCCACAGGGTAGGTGCTGGGGAAGGATATGTTGGGATCTGAAACACAACAAGGTATGGCATCACTGCAGCTGTGAACAGCTTCCACAGGTGTTCATACAATGAACAATGCAGGAAGTGAGTTTTACATAGCTTGTCACACGCTTGCAGCCATGTCAAAAACATACAATGTCTCAGTTCAGCTCATGGCACATATTATGAGTGTTGGACAGGAAAAAGATGAGTGTCGCCAGTTGTCTTTGTGGAACTACTCATTCTGTGATGCACTAAAGGCATTTGTTTACGATTACAGAATGAAACAGAAATGTTTGATTAGCTTTGTCTATTGATTCTATAATTTTTTATATAAGAAACAAGAGCATTTATCTAAATAAGCAACACATGAATAATGTATATTAACTATTTATGGACACAAACAGTGTACCAAGGCAAAGCAAAGGATATTGATGACATATTCTGACTTGAAATGAAAGGGGAGACAAGCATGAGGTTCTATGGATCTATTCTGACTTTAAATGAAAGGGGAGACAAGCATGAGGTTCTATGGATCTATTCTGACTTTAGTTTAAATGAAAGGGGAGACAAGCATGAAGTTCTATGGATCTATTCTGACTAGAAATGCAAGGGGAGACAAGCATGAGGTTCTATGGATCTATTCTGACTTTAAATGAAAGGGGAGACAAGCATGAGGTTCTATGGATCTATTCTGACTTTAGTTTAAATGAAAGGGGAGACAAGCATGAGGTTCTATGGATCTATTCTGACTTTAAATGAAAGGGGAGACAAGCATGAGGTTCTATGGATCTATTCTGACTTTAGTTTAAATGAAAGGGGAGACAAGCATGAGGTTCTATGGATCTATTCTGACTAGAAATGCAAGGGGAGACAAGCATGAGGTTCTATGGATCTATTCTGACTTTAAATGCAAGGGGAGACAAGCATGAGGTTCTATGGATCTATTCTGACTTGAAATGAAAGGGGAGACAAGCATGAGGTTCTATGGATCTATTCTGACTTTAAATGAAAGGGGAGACAAGCATGAGGTTCTATGGATCTATTCTGACTTGAAATGAAAGGGGAGACAAGCATGAGGTTCTATGGATCTATTCTGACTTTAAATGAAAGGGGAGACAAGCATGAGGTTCTATGGATCTATTCTGACTAGAAATGCAAGGGGAGACAAGCATGAGGTTCTATGGATCTATTCTGACTTTTTAAATGAAAGGGGAGACAAGCATGAGGTTCTATGGATCTATTCTGACTTGAAATGAAAGGGGAGACAAGCATGAGGTTCTATGGATCTATTCTGACTAGAAATGCAAGGGGAGACAAGCATGAGGTTCTATGGATCTATTCTGACTTGAAATGAAAGGGGAGACAAGCATGAGGTTCTATGGATCTATTCTGACTTGAAATGAAAGGGGAGACAAGCATGAGGTTCTATGGATCTATTCTGACTTGAAATGCAAGGGGAGACAAGCATGTGGTTCTATGGATCTATTCTGACTTTAAATGAAAGGGGAGACAAGCATGAGGTTCTATGGATCCATTCTGACTTTAAATGCAAGGGGAGACAAGCATGAGGTTCTATGGATCCATTCTGACTAGAAATGCAAGGGGAGACAAGCATGAGGTTCTATGGATCCATTCTGACTAGAAATGAAAGGGGAGACAAGCATGAGGTTCTATGGATCCATTCTGACTAGAAATGAAAGGGGAGACAAGCATGAGGTTCTATGGATCCATTCTGACTAGAAATGAAAGGGGAGACAAGCATGAGGTTCTATGGATCCATTCTGACTTTAAATGCAAGGGGAGACAAGCATGAGGTTACTATGGATCTATTCTGACTTGAAATGCAAGGGGAGACAAGCATGAGGTTCTATGGATCTATTCTGACTTTAAATGAAAGGGGAGACAAGCATGAGGTTCTATGGATCTATTCTGACTTGAAATGCAAGGGAGACAAGACAAGCAAATGAGGTTCTATGGATCTATTCTGACTTGAAATGCAAGGGGAGACAAGCATGAGGTTCTATGGATCTGATTTCTGACTTGAAATGCAAGGGGAGACTAGCAAATGAGACAAGCATGAGGTTCTATGGATCTATTCTGACTTGCAAGGGGAGACAAGAAATTCTGACTTGAAAGGGGAGACAAGCATGAGGTTCTATGGATCTATTCTGACTTGAAATGAAAGGGGAGACAAGCATGAGGTTCTATGGATCCATTCTGACTTTAAATGCAAGGGAGACAAGCATGAGGTTCTATGGATCCATTCTGACTTGAAATGCAAGGGGAGACAAGCATGAGGTTCTATGGATCTATTCTGACTTGAAATGCAAGGGGAGACAAGCATGAGGTTCTATGGATCCATTCTGACTTGAAATGCAAGGGGGAGACAAGCATGAGGTTCTATGGATCTATTCTGACTTGAAATGCAAGGGAGACAAGCATGAGGTTCTATGGATCCATTCTGACTTGAAATGCAAGGGGAGACAAGCATGAGGTTCTATGGATCCATTCTGACTTGAAATGCAAGGGGAGACAAGCATGAGGTTCTATGGATCTATTCTGACTTGAAATGCAAGGGGAGACAAGCATGAGGTTCTATGGATCCATTCTGACTTGAAATGCAAGGGGAGACAAGCATGAGGTTCTATGGATCCATTCTGACTTTAAATGCAAGGGGAGACAAGCATGAGGTTCTATGGATCTATTCTGACTTGAAATGCAAGGGGAGACAAGCATGAGGTTCTATGGATCCATTCTGACTTGAAATGCAAGGGGAGACAAGCATGAGGTTCTATGGATCCATTCTGACTTTAAATGCAAGGGGAGACAAGCATGAGGTTCTATGGATCCATTCTGACTTTAAATGCAAGGGGAGACAAGCATGAGGTTCTATGGATCCATTCTGACTTTAAATGCAAGGGGAGACAAGCATGAGGTTCTATGGATCCATTCTGACTTTAAATGCAAGGGGAGACAAGCATGAGGTTCTATGGATCCATTCTGACTTTAAATGCAAGGGGAGACAAGCATGAGGTTCTATGGATCCATTCTGACTTGAAATGCAAGGGGAGACAAGCATGAGGTTCTATGGATCTATTCTTGACTTGAGAAAGCATGGGTTCTATGGATCTATTCTGAAGCATGAGAGTTCTATGGATCCATGAGGTTTCTATGGATCCATTCTGACTTTAAATGAAAGGGGAGACAAGCATGAGGTTCTATGGATCCATTCTGACTTGAAATGCAAGGGGAGACAAGCATGAGGTTATATGGATCTATTTTGACTTGGAATCGCATGGGGAGAGAAGCAAGAGGTTCTATGGATCTATTCTGACTTGGAATCGCATTGGGAGAGAAGCATGAGGTTCTATGGATCTATTCTGACTTGGAACCACATGGGGAGAGCAGCATGAGGTACTGGGGGCCAGTTCTGACTGTGAATCCACACAGGAAGATCACATACCTGTGTAGAGATACTGATACATCTGCTCCACCTCGTGTGTTTCCTGTGTGGTGGGGGACTTTGATGTAGCCGCATCCAGAGGCGACCTCGGTGGGCTGTGTACCAAACCCGGCCTTCATGCCTTTGGAGCATGCACAATACAAACATATCATGTAAGTCAATCTCAAAATCAAAATAGTTCTATATATATTCATAGAAGTTATCCTACAACAACCAAATCAAGTACCATGTTGACAGTTTGGAAAAAAACTAATATTACCTTATAATAAGATTTGTTTGGTAGTTACATAAATGCGACACTCAACAATATTCTAGATATATGGCAGTGGTCTGAACCAGATAATCCAGTGATCAACATCATGAGCATCGATCTACGCAATTGGGATATGATGACATGTGTCAACCAAGTCAGCAAGCCTGACCACCCGATCCCGTTAGTCACCTCTTACGACAAGCATGGGTTACTGAAGACCAAATCTAACCCGGATCTTCACGGGTTGCTTACAGTAACAAATCCCACAACTGCCATGGTGTCACTAAACAGACAATCTAACATGGAACATGGTAACATCAACAAATATTACAAAGAGACTGACATACATTTTGATTCCTTTGATAAGCAGCGACGCCCACGGTTGATGCATGCTCATGCACATGCCCTCGTCTGTCATCTCCAGCAACTGGCGGTCCTGGATACGAGCTGACTTGGCATGTGGGTCAACATCACAAGATGAACTCTGACCAATAACCTTCCGACTAAAGGAAGACCCTTTCGACACAAACTGTAAAACAAATATCATTGATGGATTTAATTGAGAGAAAACATAATTCTAACACTTTCTTTCATATTTTTCTGTTTTTCATTCCAACATGCTTTCATGCTCTTAGTCATTAACATCTTTCCATCATCTACCATTCCAAACTTTTGAAACACCATCTGCTTTCCCACTGCGAGCAGTATTCCGAATACAATTAGATTATTTTCAAAACTTGAAGAATTTGTTTTCAAATGTACTCAATCAGAGTTTTGCTGGGTTATTTACCAATCTTTTCAAAATCATGACCTGAGCCTTTCATTAGCATGATTTACATTACCAATTATTCATAAAAAAGTAATAAAGGAAGAAATCTTGACCTGTATATGCAACACATGCATAACAGATGTAGTATTATGTTTATCATGTTTACAGACAACAATAAAGAGCGCTACAAGAGGAAAGTTTTGATTGACAGCATTAATCTAGGCAATTGGGGTATGATGACATGCATCAAGCAAGTCAGAGGGCCAGCCTTTCAATTCCGTTAGTTGCCTCCTACATCAATCATGGGTTGCTGAAGATCAGTTCTGCCCTGGATCTGTCAAACATTAACATTTTTAAGTCCATAAATCTAAGATGCTTAATACAGATTTCTAAATTTCAGCAAAGCCCAAGAATCTCTCTCTGTGTAAGTCACTTACTGTTGGTGCTGGCTGTACTATGGTGGGGTTCAGTATATTCCCAGATTCCTGTAACGTGTAAGCACTAGGTGAGTTTTTGGGCCGCGCACCTTGATAAACTTGCTGCACCACCTCATCATTGGCATCATACATGTATTTTGCAGCATCCGATTCCGCATCAACCACTTGACGCCCAGCAAAGTCAAGCGTTATTTTCCGATCTCTCCTCGATGCAAACCTCTGACTTCGGAGCTCTTCCTCACGTTTCTTCAGTGCTTCCCTGTCTTTCTTGCTGAGCCACTTAGAGTCCGAGGCAAAATAGTCACTTTCATCATCTATCACTTTGGTTCGTCTCGCACTGCAGTGAACAAGACAGGTTAACCAATAAACTTGGACAGAGTGTTATAAATGGAGCATGATTTTACTCTAAAAAAAATTCTGGAGGATTTTCAGGCACAAGCATATCATCAAAACCATTCTTGGCAGTATCTGAGTTCTGGAGGGAACTGAATTTGAACTTCGCCCAACACATTTTACAAAGGCTACCAGACAGATCATAGTTAGCTATGTCTGACATCACTTTCCAGCAGTCTGGTTTCACATCAACCAGCCCTTACACCATCCACAACTTCCCCCCACTTTTTAAACCACTGGTCCTACCCTTAATGCTTATACCAACCCACCTGGTCCGATCAAAGTCTAGCAGTCTTTCCTTGTGTTTGAGTGCCTTTTCCAGACCTTCGGACATCTTGACAGCTGCCGTTGGCAACAAGCCTCCCCCTCCTCCCTCTGTCTCCAGGAACGGCACTATTGTTGCTCCTTTCATCAGCTGCTGTCGCAGCCTCTCACTCTTCTTGGACCCTCGGTTCAGTATCTCTTGTTCTTCCCTCGTACACACCTAACAACAAACAACCTGATTACAACTACCCTCCCTCATTACACCTGACAACAAACAACCTGATTACAACTCTCCTCCTCATTACACCTGACAACACAGAATCAAATTACAATCATCCTCCCTCATTACACCTGACAACACAGAACCAGATTACAACCATCCTTCCTCATTACACCTGACAACACAGAACCAGATTACAACCATCCTTCCTCATTACACCTGACAACACAGAACCAGATTACAACCATCCTCCCTCATTACACCTGACAACAAACAACCTGATTACAACCATCCTCCCTCATTACACCTGACAACAAAGAACCTGATTACAACCCTTCCTCCCCTGATCACAGAACCAGATTACAACCTGACCCTCAACACCTGACAACAACAGAACACATTACATTACTCCCTCATTACACCTGACAACACAGAACCAGATTACAACCATCCTCCCTCATTACACCTGACAACACAGAACCAGATTACAAATCTCCTCCCTCATTACACCTGACAACACAGAACCAGATTACAACTAACCTCCCTCATTACACCTGACAACACAGAACCAGATTACAAATCTTACAACTCCCCTCATTACACCTGACAACACAGAACCAGATTACAACTAACCTCCCTCATTACACCTGACAACACCTGATTACCTGATTACAACACAGAACCCCTCCCTCATTACACCTGACAACACAGAACCTGATTACAAATCTCCTCCCTCATTACACCTGACAACACAGAACCTGATTACAATCATCCTCCCTCATTACACCTGACAACACAGAACCTGATTACAAATCTCCTCCCTCATTACACCTGACAACACAGAACCAGATTACAACTAACCTCCCTCATTACACCTGACAACACAGAACCTGATTACAACCTCCCTCATTATACCTGACAACACAGAACCTGATTACAAATCTCCTCCCTCATTACACCTGACAACACAGAACCTGATTACAAATCTCCTCCCTCATTACACCTGACAACACAGAACCTGATTACAACTAACCTCCCTCATTATACCTGACAACACAGAACCTGATTACAAATCTCCTCCCTCATTACACCTGACAACACAGAACCAGATTACAAATCTCCTCCCTCATTACACCTGACAACACAGAACCAGATTACAACTAACCTCCCTCATTACACCTGACAACACAGAACCTGATTACAAATCTCCTCCCTCATTACACCTGACAACACAGAACCTGATTACAAAATTACACCTGACAACACAGAACCAGATTACAACTAACCTCCCTCATTACACCTGACAACACAGAACCAGATTACAACTAACCTCCCTCATTACACCTGACAACACAGAACCAGATTACAACTAACCTCCCTCATTACACCTGACAACACAGAACCAGATTACAACTAACCTCCCTCATCCACCTGACCACAGAACCAGATTACAACTATTCTCCCTCATTACACCTAACAACAAACAACCTGATTACAACTAACCTCCCTCATTACACCTGACAACACAGAACCAGATTACAACCATCCTCCCTCGTACACACCTGACAACAAACAACCTGATAACAACTCTCCTCCTCATTACACCTGACAACACAGAACCAGATTACAACCATCCTCCCTCATTACACCTGACAACACAGAACCGGATTACAACCATCCTCCCTCATTACACCTGACAACACAGAACCAGATTACAACCATCCTCCCTCATTACACCTGACAACACAGAACCAGATTACAACTCTCCGTCCTCATAAAACAGTGCACTCGATAATATTTTAGCTATATGGCTGCAAAAAGTAATGGAGTCTGAGCCAGACAAGTGATCCACAGCATGAGCATTAATCTACAAAAAATCGGATATAATGACGTATCAACCAAGTCAGCGAGCCTGACCACCCACCTCTTACAACAAGCATTGGTTGATGAAGACTGGTGTGCTGGATGACAGGAAACATGCTTAAACGTAATGACACAAAAACAGAAGCAGTTCTCATTGGTACAAAGCAACAACTTAGCAAGGTCAAAACCGACTTCCTTACAGTCGCAGACTCTGACGTCAGATTCTCTGATGTGGTTAAGGATTTGGGTGTCCACATCGACTCTTCCTTGACTCTGGATGCTCATGTTAACCGTCTGAGCAGGACCTGCTACTTTCACCTAAGATCCATTGGTAACATTCGGCAATACCTGACAACTACTGCAACTCAAGCCCTTGTTCGAGCTCTTGTTACATCTAGGCTTGACTACTGTCCTTTCAGGCCTCAGTTCTAAACTCCTTGATAAGCTTCAGAAGATCAAAAATACTTCCGCCCGCATCATCAGCAAGACTTCTAAACGTTCCCATATAACACCAGTGTTGAAAGAACTGCATTGGCTACCAGTTAGGGCCAGAATTGACTTTAAGATCCTCTGTCTGACATACAAGTGCCTCCATGGTTTGGCTCCCTCCTACTTGTCTGAACTCCTACATCCATAGATGTCCCATACGCAACTTGGCTCAAACACACAAAATCGACTGGTCATCCCATCCTACAAACTGAAATCCTTCGGACACCGATCATTCTCTTACTCCGCGCCTGTGCTTTGGAACTCTCTCCCATGTGCCCTTAAAAGCTCTGACACAATTGACATTTTAAAGTCCAGACTTAAAACCCACCTTTTCTCAGTATATTATGTATAACTTCATCTGTAAATACTCCAGTGTAAATATTCTGTAGCGCTTTGAGCATGCCTTAGGGTGTGGAAGGGGCGCATTATAAATATGCATTTATTTTTATTATTATTATTATTATTATTAAGACTAACTCTAACTCGGATCTTCACATTGGTCTTGTGGCCAAACCCTGTTTGATTAAGATATACTAGTAGAGAAGTAATAATCATAATAATAATAATAGTGGATATTTGTAAAGCGCCAGTGTCCACCCACTCATGCATGCTCATGGCGCATTAAAACTATTTACAGAAGAAGGGAAAATGTCAATTATAGGCTTTAGTAAAAAGGAATGTCTTTAGGGCCTTCTTAAAAGAGTCCAGGGTCGGGGCGAGTTTGATTTGGAGCGGTAGAGAGTTCCATAAGAGAGTCGTGACATGCTGAAAACTCCTCTTGAGATGAGCCGAGCTTGAGGTACTTTGAGGAGCTGTTTATCCTGGGAACGTAGAGTTCTGGAAGGCACATACTGGGTTAGGAGAGATGACAGATATGTAGGGGCAAGGTTGTTGAGACCCTTAAAGACTGTACACAGAACTTTGAACTCAACTCGGTATTGAACAGGAAGCCAGTGCAAAGACTTTATCACAGGGGTTATATATATGATCATATTTAGAACTCAAAGATATAATTCTAGTGGCTGTATTCTGCACTTTCTGGAGTTTTTTCATGTGTTCTTTGGATATTCCAGTGAGAAGGCTATTGCAGTAGTCTAGGCGGGAAGACACCAGGCATCTGACCAGGATATGTGCACTCTCTTTAGTGATGTATTTTCGGATGGTACCAGTGGAACGATTGTGAAAGTAGCATGTCTTACACAGATGATCCACTTGTGCAGACATGGAAAGGTCCGACTGTAGCTGTACTCCAAGATCTTTAACTTGTTGTGATGGGGAGATACAGGCAGAAGCAATCATCACTCGCTCAACATCTACCTTGTCGATGTGCTGTTGTCTTCCGACCAATAATACCTCTGTTTTGTCGTCATTTAACTTTAGTTTTCTTTCGGTCATCCATGACTTAATTTCAGAAGTACAGTTTTCAGTTTGTTGTAGGGTGTCAGAAATTGATTCAGTGTTAAATCTATTCATCAGTTGAACATCAGCTGCATATGAAAACTGAGGAGTCACAAACTTTTCAGTTATGGTTTTGAGACAGTTTACGTATAAGAGAAACAACACAGGTCCCAACACTTAACCTTGTGGGACTCCACACAAGAGCACTGTCTTATCCGAAAACTGTCCCAAGACATATACATACTGACGCCTGACATGGAGGTAAGATGCAAACCAAGAGAGCACTGTTCCACTGATACCAACTTGATGCTGTCAAATATCCAGAAGCTTGGAATGATCAACCATATCAAACGCTGCACTGAGATCTAAAAGAGTCAGGGTTGCCATGTCACCAGAATCCACTAGACACCTCAGATCATTAACAACTCTCAGGAGCAAGGTCTCTGTTGAATGCTGCGGACGATAAGCAGACTGATAGTCATCAAGGATGTCTTGGAGGTTGATATGCTTCATCAGTTGTCTGGTAACAGCTTTCTCCACAAGTTTTAAAAGAAAAGTCAAGTTTGAAACGGCCGATAGTTCTTAAGTATGTTGGTATCAAGTTTGGAATTCTTTAACAGTGGAGTAACAATAGCATCTTTCAAACATGTAGGGAAAACACCTGATGAAAGACTTTTATTAATAATGTCGGTTATAACTGGAAGTAAATGATCGAGAGGATCAACCACAAGATTGCTTGGCATTGGATCATTCAGACAAGTGGTTTTGTTGGATGAGTTGACGAGAGTCAGAACATCCTGTGGAGTACAAAGTGCGAACTCCCTCAGAGAAACGCCTTCACACAAGGTTTCCTTGAACACCATGTCTGGCTGTTGATACTCCCTGAGAAGTTTCTTGATATCCAGAATTATATTCTCAAAGAATGACTTGAAATCATTGGCAAGTTGTGTAATATTATCACATTGAGGAAGAACAACTTCTTTCGTCTTGCCCATAATAGATTTCATGAAATTGTGGAGATCTCTAGGCTTTCCTACACACTCTGTGATTTGCTGTTTACAGTACAAACGCTTCTGCTCTCAGACGATCTTGCAAAAAGCATTTCTTTGAGATTTGTACATTTGACGATGTATCTCAAGTTGAGATTTTCGCCACCTACGTTCTGCTTTACGTCTTTGCTGTTTAGCTTCATGAACAAGTTCATTCTACCAGGGACACCATGTACGCTGTACAAAAGTACATTCCTTCTGAGGTGCATGACAGTCCAGCAATTGGCGAAGTGAGTTGTTATACAATGTAACATGCTGATTTTACTACTTGCCAACTGAGTGTTGTTTAAGATCATGGTCTGCAGTTTTCAACTACTATATTATATTATGAATAATCAATAGCAAGCAAGAGCAGTAGCTGATTTACTCCTCATCAAGGTAACTATTGTGAACATTGTAAAAGAACACAATAAATGCCCAGATCTGATGTTGCCTCTTGGAACCTTTTTAAAGTGGACAGTCTCTGCTGGGTAAGCATGGGTAACTCCACAACATGAGAACTGTGCACACTGAGGGACCCACTAACTTACCAATGTCCCACAGAAGACGCAGGGGCCGGACCCCTCCTGCTGACACACCACACGCCCACAGCAGGTGCAGTTGTTGACAAGCGAATGCTTCGAGGCCTGGCACTCACACGTGTGACGACCTGCAATATGGTGAGGGCACTGATGAGCAGGATGAAAACACTTAAAGTACAACACACAGTTTGGTATTCCGACAAAAACTAAACCACTAGAAACGTGGACTACAGAGGCACCCAGAGGACAAGGACTTACCAGGAATCTAGAGGACAGAGGACAACTGAGAAAACATATGGAGGATAGCCAAATACCAAGCACCTGCAGGTCAAGGATGTTACTCACCAGGCAACTTGAGGACTGTTTTCTCTTGGCCTTCCTGACTGTAGAGAGGAACAAATTTAGATTTCTTTTTCAACTTGTCAGCATTGCCATGAGAACTTTCTACAATGGAAGGAACTGGCATCTGAAAATGCAGAAATAGTATTTTGCAAAAACATGAACTGGATATGGAATGTCAAGGGATTCAACAAGGCATACAGTGAAACCTGCCAACACCAGCACCTGTCTAATCCGGCACACTGTAGTTCATTGCAGACACTGAAACTATTTGGCCACCAAACGATCCATGACTTAGTGTGTATGTTAGTGTAAGTTATTTCATTCAAGAGTGATACCATTAATGTCAATCACAGTGGCGGAGGAAGTATAAAGTCTGGCCAATACAAACCAGTGACTGAAGGCATGAGCACCAATCTACACTTAAGGAACATGATGACATCCAATCAGCCAAGTCACCAAACATTCTAGAGGCATATAAATAGTTGCAGTACTAAATAAGGAGAGGCCGTATGAAAGAACACCATCTTTATTGCAATAAGGAGAGGCCGTATGGATGAACACCATCTATATTACAATAAGGATAGGCCGTATGGATGAACACCATCTTTATTGCAATAAGGAGAGGCCGTATGGATGAACACCATCTTTATTACAATAAGGATAGGCCGTATGGATGAACACCATCTATATTACAATAAGGAGAGGCTGTATGGATGAACACCATCTTTATTGCAATAAGGAGAGGCTGTATGGATGAACACCATCTATATTACAATAAGGAGAGGCCGTATGGATGAACACCATCTTTATTACAATAAGGAGAAGGCGTATGGATGAACACCATCTTTATTACAATAAGGAGAGGCCGTATGGATGAACACCATCTTTATTACAATAAGGATAGGCCGTATGGATGAACACCATCTTTATTACAATAAGGAGTGTCACATCGGTCCTTACTTAGTACCATAAGCAGACATAATGAACCTTACCTGGTTGTGGTCTATAACTCCATTTATGTTTTCTGGGGAAGAATTGGAATTGTTTTTATTCTCTTGTTTTTGTTTCTTTTTCTTTGCTTTTTGTGAACCCTGAGTAAACTCATCACTGTCTTTCCCTTTTCTGTATACCTATAACAGAAAGAAACACAGCAATTACAAGCCTTCAATGTTACCAGCTGAGTACTACAACATTTATGATTATAATGAAAATACAGAAATCAAACAAACAAATTTGTGTGTAATTCTCAATACATCAGTTAGGATCAACTATCCTTGGAGAAACCTTATCATTGTATGAGCTAATGACACACTTCATACATATATAAACAGAACATGACATTACCAAAACATTATCAGGCACTTGTAGACTTGATGGAGGGTGCCACCGATTGAGGAGCTCTTTCACGAATCTGCGTACTTTTGAGTCACTTGCATCTAGCAGATCTAGCATATAGTCCTCCAAATCTTTGGCTGTTTCAATTGCAAGGATGTACCTAGAAACATAGAGTTGATTGAAATCAATAGAAATAGTCTTTAAAAGTTCTAATTGGTATGGGAATAAAAAGAAAATCATCTGCAATCAACTTTTTTATTCACTATTAATTTGTGACATATCATAGCATTAGGAAGTAATTCATCATAATCACTTCCAAGCACCACTGAGTGGGTTGTCATCATGAAGGAAACTACAGAAATACACCACAGTTATATTTTAATACTGTGTCATGTAATCAAGACAAGACTAGGGCTGCAACGAATTCACTATGTGGCAAATATGATATGTATCATGAATATTGGGTAACGGATACCAGAGCTCCAGATAAGATTTAGCTCATGTGGGTACTGTACCCACTGTATTTTTTGGTGGGTATTATGAATGTTGAGTGGGTATTTCATTTTCCGTTACCCACTGCTTTCAAATATGTGCGTATTTCAGTCATTTTACTTACCTAAGTATATGTCATTGAGTAAGTTTACTAAGCAGGTATGTTCTGCCTTATGTCATACCTAATCAAAACCAACTTTAATATAATGGAAATGATTTCATAAAAAATCACTCATCCTATACTAACAGTACAACTTGATAGCAATCGATGTCTTTTTCATTACGCAAGCGATTTTTATAAATATATTCTGTACGCATTTGTTTTAAACTTTTTTCGTATCTAACATTTTAAATGCGTAATTGGTGCGCAACAACATTTTTTCAATGCGTAATTGGAAATTTTCTATGCGTATTTTACCCGGATACGCAGCTTATCTGGGCCTCTGGAATACAAATAATTATTCACGAATACAATATTGTAGTTAAGTGATTGATGTACAATATGAACGCCCATGTTGACAGTGTTAATTTGTCACAGCAATAACCAGTGATCTCATGACACTCAAATTTGGTATGTAATAGTTATAGTCGACAGTACCACGTGCGGCCTTGGCAAACTAACATGACTTGCGCTACTGCAATGCTAGTACATATTCCATCCTTGCATATCTCACTTTCCAAAAGTACACAAGGGTTCAAGTAAAACATGATCCCTTAAAAAAATCGTATATATTCGTTAATATTCGGTTCTGGTGAGCACGAATAACGAATTGAATTCATGAAGGGCTACAGTTCGATTTACCAAATATGTGAGTGAATCATTACAGCCTTACTAGACACTATGCTATGGTCGTAATGTAAAATGAGTCCTGGATAGCTATAACAGAGTGAAGGTATCAATACTATCATTGTGATAGACGGGACAATCGCGGATAGACTGTGTATGTTCTTATAAACAGTCTCCATTTCCTTTCAACAATCTATTAGTATTTTAGCACAGCATTTTAGGTTTGAGATTAAAATTGAAAGCAAAAATTTGTTTTCACACGCTTTTTAAATTCACCACAGTGGCTTAATCTTTGTCCTGCTGCCATAGCACCATTCATTGGGCTAGTTAGCTACTATTCAGGGTCAAAACTTGTCATAATCAAAACAATTTTCACAACAGTGATCATAAAGTTCAATACACAGCAAATGTAGATGAAAATGTCACTTCCATGCATAAATAAAAATATAAATAAATATATGTAAGTTTAAGATATCACATAGTGCACCTATAAATGTATTACTTTGCCATTAAAGTTTTCACATGTAACCCATCAGCTATTGTAGTTGTTACTGTAACAATTTGTTGGCGACTTACTTTAAGCTATATTGAACAAACTTCATGGATAACAACTTCTTTTATTTATCTATCTATCTATCTATTTATTCATTCATTTATTTGCTAGTTTGTTCAATATTGTATGTCCCAACCTCTAAAATGCCACTCAAAGCTGTCAGATAGCTGACATCTATATCAGTTTGGTAAATACTGGATGTGTCACTGTGAAGAGGTTGGAAAATGACTTCTGTAACAGAAATGAGCTGTAGGCTTAAGTCATGTCGGCAATATCTCAGCCATATCGTGACCCAGGCTTAGTGAACAGGGCCCAGTTGTTCAAAAGCCTGTTAAATTTTAATGGACAGTTAACTAGTCTTTAATGGACCGTTAACGTTAAGAGAGCGAAAGCCTGTTGCTCAAAGCACCGTTAACCTTTAACGGTCCGTTAAGACCATGTTAACTTAACATAAGGGGAGGGGGTACATTAGCTCACTAACGTTAGCATTAGCATTAGTTCTACACCTAGCTGCATTGTGACAACATGGCATTTATTGTCCAGCGTAATGCAGCATTCATGAACATTAGACCACAAAGAAAACCTAAGGAATTCATAGTTTTGAATTCTGCAGCAAATTCCCTTTTTCTTGATACCATCAACTATTATCTCAGACAAAGCTAAAGTGCTGTAAAAGACATTTCAAAATAGGCTTCATCGTAATGTTGATATTTTTGACACAATACGAAATCACGATTTACAGCGTTATTTGCTGTATGTTTTGAAATGTGAAATTGGATAATTACTGGGAGTATTGAATTTCAAAAATTGCATATTAATGATCACTCATATCAGTTTTCCAGGAAATCGCTAATGATAATTCTGAAACGCTGCCGATGAACTTAGAATCAGTTGGGATGTTTTCGAGAATACACTAACACGAACGCCAAAGTGCGCTTTCCGCTTTATTGGTATATATATCCTCCACATGTAAAATCTGTTACACATTCCTTTGGCTGTAGTGTGTGATGGAAGATAAGTTGGTCACCAGGTGCAACAGGAAACGTATTGTGTTCCTTAGGCAAGTAACATTTTCTCAGTAATTAGGCATTTAGACATGCATGTATTTATGAAGTCATTTTATGTTGGGGTTCTGGAATTTTCTAGTATTTATGCATTAACTTCGACTATCAGTTGGGATGTTTGTCAACCCTGAGAACACTGCCAATCCTTTTCAGGTTTTGTTTGTCATAAGAATAAAATACATTGTTTGTACATGGTATGTCATATATCTGAAACATTTCTGGAGGAAACCATCAGCAGCTCATTTTCATGTTTAAATTTTCAAAGTTAAATAATGCATGAACTTGATGATACATTAATGTTTTTCGTTTGTCACTTTTTATAAATGCATGTGAGGAGCATGGCCACTTCAGCAATTACTCAATGAGTTTCACCACAGTCTCTTCCTTCTTGCATGGGCTTATAACTTAGGTGTAACACATGAATTGTGAGTTGTTGGAAGACAGAGCATGTTTATATTACCAAGACGTTATTTGCCAAGTCAGCATCTTGATTTTATTTGCAATTGCAGAATTCTGTAACATGTTTGTGTTGTAGACTGTGTCAACATCGATCCTGTGTGTGGTATGCATTAAACTCAAATGTCAGGCACTAAAATTGTCAGTAAATCATTAAACATGATCTAATTTCTAAAGAGATAAAAGTGAAACTAGATGAATGAAATATTGCACAACACTTCAACATATTGATGCAGACGTTATTAATTCAAATAGAAAATTATCTATACGATATGAGGTCAAAATGAAACATGCATAACGCCGATTCTATTTTTCTGTTAAATGTCACTGTTTTACCTTGCACTTTCTTCATTAGCATCAATCCCTAGTTTAGCGAGCTCCTCACACATCCAATCTTCTGTGGACGCCGCCATCTTGGATTATTGCTAAGGGAGGTAACTTGCACCAGACATATTGCTGACCGCCTAAAAATCTATTTGGCTTTTCGATTTCAAAGGACATATTCAACGATGATTAGTTTTACCAAATATATTTCACATTTGATGAACGAAAGCAGAATGGGGGTTCAACGTATGATCACAATATGTTGCACAATCTGATCACAAACAATCACTGGAGAATACATGTATAGTACTTTTCGATTTAAAGGAACAACATTACACAGCGCCAAGTGCCAATATGTTTGTGTATTCAAGTCACAAAAACACCAGATCTAATGGCTATATGTTTATGGGCAGTAAGTATCTTCTTCTCGAATTTCTCCTTGGCTGCCGTCTTGAATTGCAAGGGGACAGCTTGTTGATAAGTAGCTTCTCTTCTCTAGATGTTCCACTTCACCATCTTCAGTTTAACGCAGTCAAGAGCTCTTAAAAGAAATTGCAGGAAAGACAGTGTTATGTTTGTACGTCACTAACCGTCGAGCGTCAAAGAGTAAAGAATGGCTCCTTTCTTTATTTTAGGAAGAATCGTCTTTCAAACGAGTAACGTCGGCAATCGTATATATGTGCTGAATATAATTTGTAGGTATGTGACAGTAAACATAGACAATATGACACCACCGCCCGACACCACCCCACACCACGCCGCCCCACACCACCCCACACCGCACCACCCCACCGCCCCACACCAGAGAGGCCCTAAGGACCAAGAACCACTAAAGATGACGCGATACTGCCGCCACGACAGCAGACGATAAACAAAATGAAAAGTAGATATGCTTTTATTCATTCCAAGTATATTTTACTGCATACATGCTCATTCTTGTTTTTAAGATACCATCGCAAAACACATGTAGATAAACAAGGAACATACACGTTTCTAATATGCCGGACAGTACCCTGTAACATCTTCCTGAGATGTATTTTGCCCAAGGACCATAACGTAAGGTCTTATAGCTTTCGTTTATTTGATTTAGTTTCCATCTTAACCAGATCGAATAAATCTCTCTGTCAAAAAAATACACAGTGTTGCTTTCGATTCCCCACAGTTAGTTCACAGTATCATTGTCCAGATGTATTATCATGAAGAACACAAGTCTGTATACTGACCATGCATTACTGTGGAAGTGGTGTTGCTCATTGGCTCAGAGAATGGGAAACCGTGTGCATCATTACAGATCATATTGTATCATCAACATTGCATCTTCAGTAATGGTTGTCTCCCTTTTCCCTTCAGGTTAATGCTCTATTGGCCTGTTCACTGCGTAGTTTGCATTCCACCACATTTATTGTTATTGTCCGATGTCTATATTTATAATACGCATAAAGGGACTCTGTGAAATGGCTGGATTTAAGATACACCTATGTTTTATGCTACATTAATATTTTGATTAGAATGGATAAATGAAAATATTTGCGTATAGATATCATTGATTCTCATTCACAAAAGATATCTGTTCCACATGTGACTGTATAAAGACGTCATGTAGCTGGAACAATGCTTAGTGCGGCGTTAAACAACTAACAAGCACAATGTCTTTATTGGAAAGTGAGCGTTGAGGAAGGACATGCATGGAACCTAGGGCATGGGTGTGACATGAAGTCCCAAGACGTGTGCTAGTTAATCACACGCTAGTTCTGATAGTAACCGAAAAGTTTGTAGTTGCATAGATGTTACTTTGTATAATGTGAGGTTTCAATACTTGGTTGCAGTGTTTGCCCTTAACCCTGAAAAGTTGCAGGCCCTAAGGACCCAGAACCACATAAAGTTGTGGGTCCTGATCAGAATGTGTAGATCCTATATTTTAGATGCAATATAAGTAATTCCCAGCAAACAGAAAATGTGACAACTAACAAACTGAGTTAAAGAGTTTAATTTAGAAATTTAAACTAGACATTACTGAGTGATATTTTCTTAAAAAATAATACTCTTAGTTATTGGGGATGAAAAAGCTGTCGGCCATAAGGACCTGCAGAAAACAAAAGCTGTGGGTCCGAGTGATTTTCAGTCGGCTTCGAGCCTAAGAACCGACGTTAATTTCGAACGCTGCTTGGTTGAGAAAATGTCATCTTTTGGTAGACAGGGGTGTGTCTCAGTGGAAGAGAATTTTTGCCATCATTGGTATTCTTTAAACGGAAGTTAATTTTGAGGCAACATTTGTGTGTTTTAGTATTGCCTATCTGAACAGAAATTACGATTCTTATGAATAAAGAAACCTGTCAGTATTGAGGGGAACACCACGATACCTGAATGTCCTTTATCGAAACTTAAAATTCATATGATTGCTATCTGCGGGGAAGTTCAGAATTTCATGTATTGCTCTCATTTTGAAAATGGATAATTGTCCTGAGTTTGTGAGTTTGCCGTATATGACAGTGATGTTCATAGTTGAAAAATCAAATACTGCCTCACAATTACACTAGGCTCTTTTCTGAGCTTGCAAATATTAAAAGCAAATCCTTTATGTTACTGAGAATCCACTTAGTATAACTTCCATGTTGTCTTGTGTGAATATAGAGAAAGTCCTTTCTTGGAGAAACATGTATCAAGGTTCATGACTGAGGCGGATTTGGTGGTATATTTGCATGACCCTGCAATGTTTGTCTGTGCTGATAAATGTGGAGTTTTGCAATCCTCCACGAAATATAATAGGACATCTGTGTAGGTTTTAGAGTCAAGCCAAAATTAGATAAGACTGCTGGGTGGTTTAAGAATCGGTGGCTGAATTTAAGGAATGGAGAAGAAACAAACTATGACCCCAGATCTGGAACTAAATATGTCACATCTGAAACTGAAGTCGACGGCACTGCTAAGTCATGTTACAATGGAGAATGGAGAACTGAAACTGTGCAATAGGAATTTCCTTTAGGACAATAAAGACATATCTTATCTTACCTTATCTTAATCCAGTATTGGATCAGAAACAGGACATTGCTCGTGAACAAGCTATCTGCAAGTTGAGTACCTGGTGAGGTGAGGTGAAATTGGGTTTTACGTCGTGCTTGAGAATATTTCGCTCATATGACGACATGCATGCGTGTGTATGTGTAGGTGCGGCTGCTTGTACTAGCCCAGACTGAAGCTGGTTTTATAGTGCTAGCCCACTGAGATACCATGCCGCAGTGAAGCATGAATACCCCACTCAGACACAGTATACTGACTCCGAGCCGACCAGTCCTTGTTGTACCCATTAATGCCGAGCGCCAGGCAGAGACCAACAAGTACCATATGTTAACGTCTTTTGGTATGACGCGGCCGGGGATCGAACCCGCGACCTTCCGCTCTCCGGGCGAACGCTCTAACCACTACACCACGGAGGCACCACGGAGGCGGTCTTGAGTACCTGGAACCTTGACACGAACTCAGAAGATTTCCCGACACTCAAGGGATGTAACCAGGAGAATCGGATTCCCAATACTTGTTTCATGTGAAGTGTAACTTACAGAGCCAAAGGAGTGGAAACATTTGGTCTTAGATCTACCACAGAAGTACAAACCAGAGTGGTTAGTTGGCAAAGTTGGCAAAAACATGGCCAGGTTTTATTCGTCCCAGAAATACAATTCTCTGAAAATATATAGCTACAAATACTCTTACAAAATATATAATACATCTACAAAACAAGTGATTATGGAGCTCAGAACAAGGCTTGATTTCAGATAAACTTCAGGCCATGATCTGAGGCAAACTATAGCTGAGTTGGACTCAGTTTCTAATATATATTGTCTGTGGTCTTGGAGACTAGATAACCGTGTCTGAATGTCTGCCACGAGGTCAGACTATCAGTAGGCGATACTGTGCCGCACATCTTCAGGTGAAACATGTTATGGAGGAAAGTATCGAGGAATGCTACATCCCGGCGTGCTGCTTGTTTCAGGACACTGCTCCTAGATGTACACGTGCCAAGCGGCTGCAGCTGCAGCTCCAAATTGGGGATCTGAGTTTCCTCCCCCTGTCCCTAACTGGCCTCACACAGCGCTCTCTGACATATACTGAACTCAGATCATACTTACATGATAAGAGTTGTTTTTTCCAAAAGAACGACGGGGTGAATGCTATTGTCGAGACAGTTTGGGGGGATGAAGATGAAGACCTAACCCTGATTTACCCTTGCAATCACGTATATTACATATACATGTATCCCGATTTGTCTCCTCAGCTGCTATTTAAAAACAAAACAATCACTGGTCTGTCTGGCACAGATTGGATTATATATAGACTGGCCTAAAATCACATGCAGTCACATGTAGGTGAATGTTAACCATGCCTTGTATCTTGGTTAACACATTCTCCACGTTATTTTAAATTTCTTCTTGTTAGTTTTAATAAAGCATTGCTTACTTGGGTTTAATGCTACTTCCCCTAAATGATATAACCAGTTAAACGACATATGTTATCTAACGTTTACATGACCATTGAAATATTTTTCACAAAACACTATGCATAAATACATTTGTCCAGTGACATTGTAACATGTCAAACACGCTTGGTGTCATTGTCATGAGGAGAATCATGGCCAACCACTGCAATATATGAGATCTGTACCCCTTGATGGTCAGCAATGATATATGTGAGGGGTTAAACTGGGTTTCCCGCCACTTGAACACTATCGAGTTTCAGTGCCAACAGGAATGATATGGGAGACGCTATTACTTGTGCCCCTGGTGATGATGGAATGTTGCAAGAAGCCGTGTAAAACATACACTCTCACTGAGTTACTCATGAATGGAGTTTTGCTGACCCAAGAATCGTAATCAGGGATTATCTGGGATTCGAGCTGATAACCGGTAGATCCTTGTACTGCTGAATGCTCAACAGTATTGTACTCACAGGAAAAAGTAACAAAGCACTCGGCCACGAGAAACATTGAATGTTTTTTCTAAAAGAACTCAAGACAATGTTCGAGGACCTCTAGTTCTATGTTGACCGCAGTCACTAAGAGAAATATGTAAGAACGCTCTCCTGGTTTCCGCGAAGTAGTAGTGTGGGAGGCAGGTTGCTGGTCAGGATCTCCAGCCAAGCCATGTACAACCCCGCTGGGCACGACGTCTTCCGTAGCACTGGCAGCGTCCTGGAAACAGTCAAACATCAATCTTTAACAGAATCACAATTCACGGAATGTGGTAACATTGTATGTTATGTTATTTTTTAATCTGCTTTCATTGATAACCTCCGAGAAAGGCTGATCATAAGAGGTGAAAGGGTGAGTGTATATTACACCACCAGTCGTTATAAGCATATGCAATGGTTAGTCAATTGTTCACCTAAAGAAATTCGACAATGTATTGGATAAGATAAAACAGGGAATTGCATCAGACATTAGTTTGGTTACTGATGCGTCTATTTCAAAATTCCTTCCAAAAGTCTGCTATAACATTTTCTGGCAGCTTTGCTGGGGCATGGAATGTTGTAACTTTGATCAAACGAAGAGTCGAAGAGTCGTAAGAAATCTGGGTAAAAAACAAATGACTCGGTGCTACAGAGAAAGTAGACAAGTACTTCTAAAGGAGAACAATACTTACATGACGATGAGCGCTGCCTCAGAGGAGTTTTCCAACAACAGCTCTCGGAGACGGAGTTTCATGTAGGTCTGGAATAAAGACAAGTGGCCAGTCTCTGAACAAGTTTCATTGTCCGGTGATATGAAGGAAAAATAACGCAAAAGATTGTGTCACACAGTCAAGTTTTCGTGATATAGATGTAACCAATTGCCTATATGCACAGACCAGATTTAATCTGTAAACATCCACCTGAATACTATCCTTGTCATGAGTGAGTGAGTTTAGGTTTACGCCGCTTTTAGCAATATTCCAGCAATATCACGACTGGGAACACCAGGAATGGGCTTCACACATTGTACCAATGAGGATAAGCGAACCCGGGTCTTCCATGTGACGAGCGAACGCTTTAACCACTCGGCTACCCCACCGCTACAACTTGTCGTGGATTCAACATTTAAGTGATTAAGTTGAAAGTCATACTATGACTAAACATAAATACCTACTCTGTGCAGCTGATGCTTATAATAATTTATGCATTATAAACACGATCAGTCGCTTGTGCTGAAAAGAAACATTACGTACATGAGAGTGGACGTGGTTTGCCGATGCGACCTAGTGTTGAATTGCACCGTCAATTCCTGTGACTACGATGAAGAAGTCTATTTATTTTTGAAGTCCCCTGAATTAGGAGGGGCGTTATTCTTGTCAAATTAAATGTTTTGGGGCGGTGGGGTAGCCTAGTGGTTAAAGCGTTCGCTCGTCTAGCTGAAGACCCGGGTTCGATTCCCTACATGGGTACAATGTGTGAAGCCCATTTCTGGTGTCCCCCGCCATGATATTGCTGGAATATTGCTAAAAGCGGCGTAAAACTAAACTCACTCACTCATTAAATGTTTAATTAAACTTGTTTCAAATGCATCTCCTCGATGTATCAAGAGTTGTCAAGAAGCAGGCATAGTATCATGACGTAGGTGAAGGCGGGTGAGTATTCAAGGATGTTACCTTATGTTTTTGTGCTCTGAGATCTGAGTCAGTTATTTTCCAGGGCAGGTCTGTTTGAGATTCTCCCGGGCGCAGCCGCCACCTGTAGATCATGGACTCGAATTCTTTGTAGCTGAAACAAAGCATGTGCACCCTTTTCACACATTATCTTTTCAAATAATACTGAGATGTGTTCAAGTCTTTGTAGCTGAAAGCATTGGTTCACAGGAAGTCAGGTGTACGAAGTTTTAAGCCACAGTAACCAATATTCAAGCTAAAATGACGTCAACCTGTAAATAAATAATCAAGTGCGGTCCAGACTTTATTGTTAACACAAACTCTTCTTACCTGGACTTTTACCCAGTGCAGCGTTAAAACAAACAAACACACGATGTTCCTACTTTCAATATTAGACTCAAGATCCTGATGGTCTTTTGTCAGATCTTACAGCAAAGTGGAGTCCATGTTTTCCAGTCAACAATGAAGGTACCATCTGTGCTTACCTCGCCCTCTTTGGTTTTTTCTTTATGTCTGGTATCACAGTGATCTGGGAGTAGTCGATGCGGAATTTACTGAGTAAAGTCGCCATCCTGCAAAACAGTGATAGATGGGATCAAACAACCATAAATGTAAATCAGTTTGGTTACGCCACGACATCGTGTCAGTGTTGTTGGTCGATGACGTTAACCTATGGAGTTAATACTGATGGACTAAGGATAATCAGCTGGAGTTCAACCGCACCGAAAGTATCCTGGTCTAAATCTGCCTAAAACCACTGGACCACTCGTGCCTTTCTAAATCACCCTCAGTACACTCAATTCACGTGTGTGCCTTTTCATATTGCAACTATTTCAAAATTGTATTCATATTTCCCACCATAACAGTCAGCAAGTCTTTAAAACCCTATTCAGGCGCGGAGCAAGCCAATATTTTTCGTGTAAGCCCCATAGGTTGCAAAACTTCATATTTAGATAGTATTGAGGGCTTGCCCAACATATTAGCAACAATCATGTGTAAGCCCGGGCTTTTTTTTATAATGGTAGCTACGGCCCTGCTATTTTTCTTCATTGTCTTGTTCATTTCAAACATGCCGTGTTCACGTGATTACGTTTACGAAAATCAATGTTTGTTTTGTCCGTTTACAAATCTGTTTTTCAGATATCATTTCTCTGAATGACTACATTTGGATGGTTTTCACGCAAGCGTTTAATTCGTTCCGTCCATTTTTTCTAACGTAAACTGCCCGGTAGAAGAAAGTATACTTCCGTGTTTGATGGTGGCCAAAGATGAAAGGAACAAGAAATGCTTAACCGATGTTAATGTACTTGATCGTATAGCAAAGCTTTATTGGATTAGTTTTAGTCTTAAAACAACTATTTTCAGCCAATCAACGTTTTGGCAACTCTGTAAATGTTCTGGTCTAAATTTCAACTTTATAATTTCTTTGACAGAAACATTTTTCAGTCTGCTGATAAGAAGGGAAGAAATAATCTGCAGATGATAAACATTTCCAAATCTGAGGCTAGAAAACTGGATCGAATACCTGCGATGGTCTTCTTCCATGTTGTCTCGCTTGGTTCCGGCACAGAACACCCGGAGTTTGCATCCCCGCCACTGTTTCCGGGTAGACAGGATCTGGGGCAGGAGCAGCGTGAGGCCTGGGGACAGAGGAAAACATACTTACGTACATTACACCTTCTTTAAAGTTATATTTTCAACGCTATTTTACACATACTGGAAGCTGTTTCGACATGTAAACCAGAGTGGTATCCTCTGGTATGGACGTTTATATCTAGTAACTATTCAGAGACTGATTTTTCCTGATAACTTCTTTGAGTGGTATTTGGGAAGTACACAACAGACAAACGTTCTGCTTGCCAACGGTACAAGAATCTGTACGAAACCAAGAAAGCTTTATTCATATTGATTATACGATGAAATAGCATGTATGACGTCACATGAATTCGCGAATAGCATCGAGTCTGTGAAGGATGCTACTTGCATGATTTCGATAGAGAAAAAGTATTAGACCAAGAAGGAAACTATATACAAGCATAACGCCTACTAAATACATACTAAATGTATCGCAAAAGCAGGAATCATCAAAATTACCTCCGTCATCAAAGAGCCACCAGACATCAATTGTCCCGACCTGACGCCGACGGAATCTGTTCCCAAGACGTTCGTCGTCGACAGATATACCTTTAATGAGCATGGCACGTTTCCGGTCGTATACGCTCTGTTCTACCCTTCCATCGGAAATGGACTCCTCGTCCTCGTGTTTAAATCCTACGTTTATTTCTCCGTCTAATTTCTTGGCGAGTTTGTCCAGTGGGATGCCGTTAGATAATTCGTCAACGACGACGGTTGGTACTGGTGTGACGTTGGACCTAGTTGTGAGTTTCTCATCCTCATCACTTTCTTCATCATCTGATTTATCGACATGAATTTCTGAAATTAGAACAAGTCCTTGAACGTGTTTCCAACGTTTACGTCAGCTATCAAATGCAAATGTATCGCATTTTGTCACCGTCAAAACCTGGAAATGTCGCATATTACTAACCAGATAAAGTTTAACATGAAGCAAGAAAACACCTGAACGTAGACCCCACGATAACTCACAACACGTTAACGTTATTTCCACAGCAAATGTAAAGAAATGAGTTTCATCCAACCCACCGTCATCAGAAAAGTCTGCAGTCGTCCATTCGCTGATATCCTCGTCCGTGGCGGAGAGAAGTTCGTCGGGAACTTTGTGGATGTCAAATCCTTCCACTGACCGCAGTATCCCCACCCCGTATCGCAGGTCACAGGCGTCGCTGTGAAAATAGTACACCTATGTTCACACAATATCAGGTGGAAAGAAATCACAAAATTCATGTAGACTGATCTGGGAACATTGATAGCCTTGTGGTCCAAGACTACGTTATTGTCGTGGTGAGTTGCTTCTCTATGGTGAGCTAACTTTTTGGACCTGAATCACATCGGCCTTTCTTCCCACTCTAAGTTAACACACGTGACAGAACTGAAATAATGTTAAAAGGGTTAACTTCACAGTACATTTAATGCTGGTTAGACAGAAACAATATTGTAGTTACTTAAAGCATGATACATCAACTTTGACATCAACTTTGGTATAAAAGTGCTACAGAGGGGATACTATCTTGTGAGACGTAACAGCATCCGGACAATGGCTCCGCATTTAGCAGTATTTCAGAAATATCAAAACAGAGTTCATCTGACATGGGCTTCACACATTGTACACGGGAATCCACCCCGAGCTTTCTGAACCAACATAACATACTTACATCTACCACAATCTATAACAAAAGAGACACATAAGATGGAGCATAAAGCAGCTTTTCAGTGAGCTGTCATATTATATTCACAGTTGTTCCTCGTGGTCAGTTTTCGGGTGGATTGTCATGCTTTTGTTGTCTGAAATTATAACGACTCTAACGTTCTTCGCGGACCTTCTATTGTATTGCAAGGTGTTGGTTACAGTGAGTGTTCCACTAAATGGATTCATGCCTGGTCTCATGATCTTTGGGCATGTAATGAACATCTTCTGGTTTGCTGTTTGCATCTGGTCAGCAGGGCATTGCAGTCTTCATTTCATCATTGTAGTTGTTTTTGTACATAAAAAGAGTTTTCTACCACTGACCCATACGAAAAGTGTGTGGTCAGTTCCTTGAGTGTAATGTGCATGTTGTTTAGTATCAGGTTATGTCATTGTTTGTACTGATGATGGGCCGTTCACAGCAGGTGCCCTTCATCCAATGTTTCACTGTGGCATGTGACGGGACAGCCTCCCCTTAAATAGCATGCAACCGTTCTTTTAGTTCTATTAATCCTCTGGGATAAATTTGATGCCGGCATAAACTCAGTTTTGTCTGCTACCTGGCAACTGAGTCGAAGTCAACTAACAGCTAGCCAGTGGATTGCCAAACTGGGATAAGTATAGCAATAATATGAATATATCGGGATCAAAACGTTCAGATACTAAGCTGGAAGAGAATAATAGACATACAGATCAGCATGTTGTCAACCTACTGTAGAACACAGAAGTAGTTGAAGACTACCCGAGGATCGTCCACCTGCCAGTCCCCCTTGTACCCGAGGACGATGGTGTTCGGTCGCAGCTTGCCTACACCCGATGTCTGGAAATGCAGTTTTTGAAATCACTTAATACATGATATGATCTTTGTTGGTTAGAGCCGCATTCGACAACCTTCAAGCTATGTGGCGGCGGGTTTAAACACTCGAGTCGACAACCTTCAAGCTATGTGGCGGCGGGTTTAAACACTCGAGTCGACAACCTTCAAGCTATGTGGCGGCGGGTTTAAACACTCGAGTCGACAACCTTCAAGCTATGTGGCGGCGGGTTTAAACACTCGAGTCGACAACCTTCAAGCTATGTGGCGGCGGGTTTAAACACTCGAGTCTAGACTAACGATGAAGTAATTGACATTATGACATTATCTACGCAGTTTGGGTTCGATGACATGCATCAACCACATTAGTGAACCCAGGAACCATATAATAGATATGTTACATGGTCTCTGGTAAACCTTATTACCCGATGCCGTTATTTCCCTTTCATCAATTGTAACGCCTTAATATGTCAACTATAATAGCTTCATAGACTGATAATTTCATCATCACCACACAGACGATAATGCGAAAACGTTAATCACAAAAAAGCACACGAAACGTTTGCCCGCCCATTCAATTATCAGCCTATCAGTAAAATCGTAACACATGTTATATTTGGGATTACTTTTCATTCTAAGATGCTTCGGTGAAAGATCAAAGGTGCCGACAGTACTTTTTCAGACGATAATGTGCAATTTTTGCATTACGTCAAGATGGCGTCACTGCGCCATTCTAGTTTGCCCCCTCGTAATTGAACACTTTTGCATTACGTCACAACGTAACCGACGTCGCGATGCATATCAGTTGTCATCGCCTCGTACAGCCTCCTACACTAAACTACTCCGTAGCCCCCGTTTCTTTGTTTGCATATGCTTCACTCGGCGAGCATCCCTGGTGGTAACGTTACGTTTATGTTTTTCGACGGATAAAATGTCTCAGTTCGACTCAAAATTAAACAGCGACACGGCAACGTTCGCAATATTTACATGCCCACAATGCATCCGTGGAATGTCGCGTGACTAGTCAGCTTCATCTGGATGTACTGATCTAAACTTACGTTGGTAGTAGAAATGCGACGTTCATATTGCCCCATATGGTTTACGTTAATCACAGATATAATTAAACTAATTTAGAGAAGATATTTAACCCGAACGTAAACCGTCATCAAACTGTTTATCACTTGTTTTTCTGGTAACGTGCGCCTTTACGTAGGGGGACATACACATCAATAGAACAGCGCGTCAGTTTGCCCTGAAAGAGGATTGTTAATTTAGGTCACCGACTCTTTACTGTTTGTTTTCTGCCTTAGATTTATCGTCGGTAAGTATTAAATTTGGCATCTTAGAAAAGAAATACAATTCGCTCTACCACCGTGTATAGTGTAATAACGTGCTTAGTTAAGTAATGTACAAATTCTGCTACTTTTTATTGGGTTGAGTCCCATCCGGATTCGAACCCACATTCTCAGAGTTAGGCACCTAATCGCCAGCACATAAAGTCAGCCGTCTAACCCACTGAGCTACCGCGGCTTCCACCAAAATCAGTAAAACCGTAGTCCGTTAGTGGGCGTGGCCCATAGTAAAAGTCCGTAGTCCGTTAGTGGGCGTGGCCCATAGTAAAACCGTAGTCCGTTAGTGGGCGTGGCCCATAGTTACGTCCATGATCCTGTACACAGGACCGTTGAACCGGACTGATTAACCAAACTCCACAAGGTATAAATAAACATGAATGAGAGCGAGGAGACTGCATTTTCAGTTACTTCCTTTGAATGTGATTGAATGAATATAAATGACGGAAAAAGTACCTGTAATATCGCCTGGACGCCGATCCTGAGATTGGGGGCAGCGATGTTTGTGTAGAAGGCACGAAGGTTTCTGTTATTGAACCACTTGTAGGCAGCCGTGGATCGTATGTGGGTCACATGATCACACAAATCACCCTGAGAAAGAAATAGTGATCTCCGTAATAACTGAATCCAATATCTTCGTCTCGTAAGAGTTTATTAACTATGCTTATCTCACAGATTACAGATACTTTATCATTAAATAATTGTATTGTCAAAGATAGGCATTGTAACAGAATGTAACGGCCCGGTATGCATGTCTATTTTCTATAAGAGTAAGTAAGGGATCAAAGAAATGCCGGTCTTACAAAACAAAGACGTTACTACTCCAGTGAAACTCGCGGATGTGGGCGTGGTGAAAAGGTCTTAATCTGGATGATTATTTTCAACCCAAATGAGATGGATGCTAGCGTGGCAGAGTCACGACTCACGGTGTTCCAGCCAACTGAATTACCCTAGCCATATTTGACAGATGAAATGAAATTACGTCTTCTTTCTGAACAGAACACCTTTAAAATCGAACTTGAGTTTCCTTCATATCAGCCTGTCATATCTATAGTCGATGCCTATATGGGTATATGTAATCGTTGTCAGGGGTCAGCACTGACCAGTAGCACGTGCGCACAGACCAGGAGGGACTGTTTCTGTGTGATGGTGGACACAAAGTCGACCAGGGCTGGTCTGTTCCTGGGATAACCGCTGAGTACCAGGATCTGAGGGCTGAAGTACAGGTGAGCATCAACCATTATATGTTAATTATACATACAGGTTATAGCATGTTAGTTTGTTTTCATATGTGCATATTATACCTCTTTTAAACCCTTTGGGTTGTTTTGATGTGTAATATGAAAAATGCCATGTAACCTTATATACAATAAATTCAAGTTTATGTTATCCGATGTTTAATGTGTTAATGTGAACTTGTCACTATGACATATAAGCAAGCATCTTAACTGTTGTAAATTCATTTAACGATTTAACTTACCGGTAGTTTTTAACATGTTCGTCAGTATCAGCTAGTTTCAGTGTGCCCTGCAAAGCATCCTTGTACGCATGCGCTTGTGTTGAAGAGCCCCAGTTCACATCTGTAGCAAGAAAGAATAGTACACCGTAAGGGGTATGAAACTAGACCTTAGCCGCTATCATCACGGGTTGTCGTGGGTGGGCCAGTCGTCTACAGTGCCGCAATTTGCTGTGCAGAGTTGTGTCCCTTGCACGCGTCAGAAACCTGTTAGATTAGTTCGAATCCTTATTCGCCCCGGTTATGTTTCCAGGATTGCCAACACCATACCTGTTGTGAAAGTGTGAGACGTGTTTTACTTCGGACTTTCCTCCCACATTTAAACTTACACTCCACTACTGGCATACTGGACTACCACACGTGTATCAACTATTGGTTTGCACTGTTTGGTATTTAAAGGTCTATAGGATACAATTTGACGTTTGCTGACAACAGAACAATCAGCATTCACTCATTCACTAATTAGGGTAATAATACGTCACCTGGTTTTCTGTGCTTGAGAAACAGGTACAGCGCTGTGATGACGACGAATGTAACGAGAGCTGCCCACCAGTTGATGAGGAACATGACAGCTAGACAGAGCAGGGCTCCCACAAGGCTCACCCACTTGTTGTACAGCTTGTAGCCAGGTCGGAACCCTGCAGGAGAAACAGGGGCATGAACAGGCATGAACATGATGAACTAACACTGTAACTAGGGTCTTCTTTTTAATTGTATATTAATCCATCTCAAGTAACACCACGGTAGATTTGTGTTTCATTAAACCGAAACAAAAACAATATTTGGTCGTAACGTCTGGCTGGCTGAGAAGTCTGTATAACCTATCAGGGGAGTAGACGAAAAGACTTCAAAACAAGAGACGTTGCTAGAACTTATCAGGGACGTTGACGAATAAGGCTTCAAAACGAGAGAAGTTGCTCCAACGTACACGGGGTGATGGTTAATAAAGCTTCGAATCAAGAGAAGTTGATATAACTTACCAGGAGAGTAGACGTTTTGACTTCGAAACAAGACCAGTTGTTGTAAACTTACTCGGGGGAGTAGACGAATAAGGTTTCAAAACAAGAAACGTTGCTATAACTTACCTGGGGAGTTGATTAAAAAGGCTTCGAAACGAGAGAAGTTGCTATAACCTACCAGGGGAGTTGGCAAAGGAGGCATCAAAACAGGAGAAGTTGATGAGAGCATACGCCATGAGGAAGAAGTTGGATATGATTGGAGCAATGATGTCCAGGGCGCCTGAAACATATATGCAGCATTCCAATCAGGGATGGAAAACCAGCTTCAGTGCATCGCGACATCCTCATTGGATCTCGCTCCCACATTGATGTCAGGCAACTGATGGTTGTCGTAAGAGTCCACTACAATCGATGTGCCCGCTGACTGCGTCAGTACAACGAAGATACGTTAGAGAACTCTGACAATATCTATCTATCTTCTCAACCCTGACACTACGTTCCCTCCAGTTTCGAGTATCAGCATATTGTATTGCAACAAAATTACCGTTACCCTCTCTTCGGTTTGGATAATATTCAAAATAATAGTTTTAATCAAGTTTGAATCATGAGACTATGCGTCAGTGTTACTATTAATCTAACACTCCGTTTACAACATTCAATGTCAAATGTTACATACCCACGCATGTCATAGCTACACAGATGCCAAAGGTCAAGAAGTAGCCTCGCTTTGGTTCTCCTGATTTGCCGAAGCCTTTGGCAAAATAACCAATGAACGGAAACAGACCATCTTTGCCCAGCGCCTGCAAGATCGGTACAGAGACATAAGACAATGGGGTCTGATACAGCAAAATACTATTGAAAGGACCAAGATCAGACATCAAAGTCTTTAGAATCTTTTATTTGAGTTTTAGTTGATGTATGGTTATACCTCCTCATACACTGACATACTTTAAAGAATATAAAAATATATATTAAATAACTTGAAAGGTAATTACATGTATACATGTATATTGTATCACAAAAATGAACACTGAAATATCCTTTTTGTAATACTGTAAGAGCCGGTCTGTTATAACGACAAGGCCCTCGAAAAGGGTTATGACACTAAGAAGGGTCCAGGGGGTAACAGATCATACTACAGATCCCAAATGAAATTAATGGTGGACAGGGTGACGTTCCACAAAGCGATCGTAACGGCTACAATATCTGTGTGGGACAGGCCTCTGGTCTTTACTATTGGCCTGATCTCAAAGTAACTGACGTTAATAAGGACCCCTGTTAGTACAAGAAGAAACAGCGAATATCTAGATTAAATGTAGCATTGACGTGGGCGACACGCACCTGGAAAACCTTGGGGGCACTGACGATGCTTGCTAGCGCTGATGACAGGGTGGCAGAGAAGATACCGGCCAGGATCAACGGTTTGAAGGCAGATGCGATACCCACTGCCTGAAAGAAATGGTAACACTTAGCAAACGTAACGCTTTTAACTGCATACACTACATGTAACACTCGGCCTGGAGATGATATCTTCAGCTATCGGTGAATGACTTTCTCCAGAGAGTTGGGATTGCAACGGACACTGATAAACTGACCGTTTGGAACGTTTCTTCTGCAAACCATGCTTGTCGAAAGAGGCGACTAACGGGATCGGTGGTCATCCTCGATGACTTGTCATGTCATCGCATTCCAAATGCGCAGATCGATGACCATGGTGTTAATCACTGGATCGTCTGGTCCAGCCACGACATTTTACAGAACGCCGCCATATAGCTGGAATACTACTGCATGTGGAGATAAGACAGGCGTAGCAAGCCAATGTTAGGTAGGTTGCAAAGCGATAGATGTAGATAGTATTGAGGCCTTGCCCAACCTTTATAGCAACAATCATGTGTAAGCCCGGGCTTTTTTGTATAATGGTAGCTACGAACCTGTAAAGAACAAATGAACCAAAACGGGTTCTATAAGCTGTTCGTGGGGTTTTATCACCAGCAACAGCGCTATCATAACACACGGCACTCGTGTGGCCACATCGTCCATATTTCAATCTGTGTTCTTTAAAACTGTTTTCTAACAATGAGCGTTCCTGAAACCTTGTCATACCCCGTTGTCGTTTTGGAGTCCATATTTGCACGTGGTGTTTCCACACTGAGTGAAGTTGGCGATGGTGAGAGCCACTTCGCTGAAGTTGCCGGATGCAGCTTCCAGCACGGAGAAGCCAACCGCATCCCTCAGAAGACAGCTGCCACACGCCCACACGATACCCAGGTAGATGACAGTTGTCAGGAATATAGCCAGAAAGGTTCCGCGAGGGATCGCAGCGGAGGGGTTCTGTATGGGTGATACATGTGGTTTTAACAACCTTGAAATGAACAGTACACCCTCATTGTTTTCTGGACGACGATACCTTTACCATAGAAAGTACTCTTAGAGGATCCTTCATCCCAACCAACACTCGTCTTCAAAAGATTGTTAAAACGTGTCTTCCTTTTCAACCTTTACTTTTCTTGATATTGTGTATGTCAAATCCAGTATGTTTAATGGGCTTCACATTGTGCCCATGATAACACTCTACTCATGTGCAGGAAAATTTACCTTTATATAATACAGTATTGCAATGCCTGTTATTCTAAAAGCAAGCAAGCATGTTTTAAAGGCAGTGTTCAACCAACCTTCAGGTCGCCGGATATGTTGGCCCCAGCCAGTATCCCAGTAGCAGCTGGGAAGAAGATGGAAAATACTTGAAAGAAACTCGTCTCCCGGAAGTCAGGTCCAAAGTTCTCCATCAATAACTCGCCTACAAATGTACAAAATGTCCACATTTAACCCAGCAGTTAAAGGGTGTTATGATGAAAGGAATCACAATTGAATAGATTAACGTGTAACATTGTAATTAGATAACTATAAGATGAATGATGTTAACGTATCATCATGTTCCACAGACATTACAGACACTTCAACATGGAGCGACGACGATACTATCACCATGATGTTTAGACCTGGGTCAAGTTTTGTTTTGGGTTTTTGGTTTTGTTTTTTGTTTGTTGGTTTTTTTTGTTTTGGGGGCAAGTTACCTGAGTAGCCGACGAAACCCTTGGCCTGTCTCTCTGGTGTGGCGGGGAGGAAGGTGCCCACGAAGAAGTTGACAATGGCTGCCATCAGCACCACCAGGAGCACCATCTGAGCCTGTAAGGAAAGCAGTCATTCAGATCCACTCGGTATATTCCGTTCTGTCATACCGAGAGCAAATATAGATAGTGTGATGGATAAATTAATACTGTACTAACGGCGACGATGTTTTAGTGTTTCACAAAATATGCCCTCCTTCAGCTTTGAGATGGTGACAGTTTGACAATGATGCGGGTTGTACATTATAACAGTACCTTCGATTCGAAGTCCAGCCCAATCAGCACGATACCTAGGATAAGGAACGACGTAGCCACGCCGATGATGCGGACCTCGTTGATGGAGTCACCAGTTATGAACGTTCCGTACTCCTGCAAAAAGTCATTGAGTGAAGCGTGCCTCTATACACCGTGTCCATTAAAAATACATGCATACATATGGACAGGTCCCTGCTACGTGATCCCCGATTTAAGACACAATTTAGTCTTAAGTCCAAGTTTTAAGAGTTAAGACAAAATATGGACACTTTAACAGGACATCGGTATACAGAAACAGTCAGTGTTATAAGTCATTTAGAGACACGGTGGGGTTATGCAAGAATAGGGACCCCTAGTTATGCAAGAATACGGTGATAGTTGGATCGAATCAAAGATTTGCCATGATCGAACATCTATGCTCGTACGTTTCAAAGTGTTAAAAGTTTAAGATCTTCAACACGTTTGGTTTGTTTCCCACAATGTCCTCATATGTCGTGCTATAACAGAGATAATGACGTTCATAACGTGACGGTAAACTAACCACACTCGCCCATCGCAGCATATACTGTCAGAATGACCCAACTCACCCACATCAGGTCACGGACAGTTTCAGCGAATCCCACCACGTACATTGCGGCAGCCACGGCGTTGGCCAGAGAGAAGACTATCCCTATAGCTCCCCCGAACTCCGGCCCCAGACTGCGGGAGATCATGTAGTAGGCGCCCCCTGGGACACGGCAAACAAAACAAAAATATACCCAACTCTGATATGTCTCATCTAAATCTCTGGTAGATGAAAGACACGGGATACGAGACATATTATAACAAGTCCTACATAGAAACGTTTGTCTGAACTGACAGTTTTGCAAACTCTATCTGAATCACAGAAGGGACGTTCAACATATTCTAAACTAATCTTATAACGAACACGGTTATAACGAACAAATCCTTTTTTCGTCCCGGTTACTTGCTGTATTTTTAGGCGAAATGCATATGACGAACAACGGTTGTAACGATCTAAAACTAATGGGGCTGTCGAGTTATTACCATAGTTTACTCTATTATATCGAGGATAATTGAGGAATACAAACAATACAATTTAATTATTTCAATAGCTTAAAATCAAACAAAGAGTTGCGTATTACCTGAAACACAACTCGCACAAACATAGATGTTACCTATGGCCGCGTCTGTCAGCTATTACCTTGAATAAGGTCTGATATAATATCAAATAGTACTTGCAAGAACGTTTGACAAATTGTCAGGACGTGAAACAGTTGGTGAACATTTGTCCATTGCGCGTGTATGATTATAACAACCCTGACCAAGCCTTCTAATCTGTGTGCCAAGGATTATGTTGCATAAGGCAAGGGCAACTAACGAGTGTTAACATTGGCATATTTGTGAGTTACCTCCCCTGACCTCTCCATTGGTGCAGATGGCGGCCATGGACATGGTGGTGATGGAAGTGACGAACGCCGACAGAAGGATGATGACGGATGCGAACCCGATCCCAGACCTCCCTGTGATCCACGTCAGGCGGAGGAACAACATCACCCCGAAGATGTTCAGCAGGCACCTCACCTACATCAACACGGCAATACGTATTCAAACTGGCTTTGCATCTGAATGTGTTCGCGAACAATTATAGTATTATCAGAATTGGTAGTGGTTCCTAAACACATACATATGACCAAGTCTGAAGCGTGAGATAAATTCCTAAAATCGGATGATTTTTGTCGCATTTTTTGTAAACGTAAATGGTGAGCGAGTGAATTTGGTTTTACGCTGCTTTCGGCAATATTTCAGCATTATCACGGCGGGGTTACACCAGAAATGTTCTTTAAACATTGTACCCATGTTGGGAATCGAACCCGGGTAGGCGTGACGAGCGAACGCTTTAACCACTAGGCTACCCCCGTAAAAGGTCAGTGGGTATACGTATAAGTTGGTTACAGGGAGTTTTACTACTATGTGAGCAGTACGCCCACCGCTCCAGGTCGATTGGAGAAGATATTTCCCCTGAAAGTTGCTTTCAAAAGTTAATTATTCTTCAGGTGAAATTGATTTGGATATTGTTGACTTTAATGGTCGTTTTGAGTTGACTGTACACAAAGAATGGACTGTACAACGCAGCATTGTGTTTCCCTTTACAATTTATATGTTGTCAATGTAATGTCATGTTAAATGTTAAGCAAAATACCATAATACATTGACCGCCTCAGATATTGTTTGAAATTGATCACATCATTCAGTGCTTTCCATCGTCAACATACCAAGACCCCCTGGATCCATCCTAACTTGGCGGCTGGGCGTGACTTGACTTCCGCCTTCTTCCTGGTACCCCCCGAGTCATCATCATCACTGTCAGGGAGGTCCTCGCCCAAGGGGATGGGTGACTGGAAGTAGAATATATTTGAATATCTGAACTCACTTTGTGAGCGTTTTAGGAATACACTGGTTGTACAGTAGATGTTGAATCAATTTCCACGTCCAAACCAGCGGTTGATTGCATGAACAGAATTCCACGCCGTCGGGCGCCGATGAGTGAACTCGGTCTGTGGTATATCTTCAGTGACGTGTGTAACAGGCAACAGAAAGCAGTCAGATTGGTGATGGCTAATACAAACAAGCAAAAGTTATTGGAATGTGATACATTTGATACTGGTATCATCATTTGCAGTGTTGGCCTCGTTTGCAGTGTTTAGGAAATGTTTAATAACGTTTTGAGAAAGTTTGATGCGTATAAGTCAAATCCAACTTATAGTGTATAGTTAATGTATCAAACAGGGCGCCATTAATAAAATCGTATATTTGCTTTTTGAGAGAACCCGGTCCGCCAGCTCAGATTTTAGCCGGACCGATGATACCCCCAAAGCACACATACCGTCTTGGACTTCACATGCAAGCAGCCTGGCTAAGCAGTTAATCTGGACAAACGACATTTCATTTCAAATGACGCAATCATCTGGTGACAAGTCTATGGCAGACAGTTGGCCTGTATCCAGTCTTTCAGACAGTCCGATTACTCGCCTTGTATATATATATATACTGTTGGTTTGGTTGTTACAACAACTGTTCTAACAAACCCAGGAACAGTATCCATATTTCCAAGAAAGGGTTTTGCCACATTTTCTACGTTAATTCTTTATAAACAAACTGTCATGATTCGATATCAGGATTTTACGTCACATTAATTGTATCAGGATGTCACATTAATTGTATGGGTTTCCATGATTGTTCAAACTGCCAATGACTTTTATTAACTGCATGGCTGCTCATCTCCTTCATACCACAAGACACTGTAGCTCACCTTTTTCAAATAATGAAACAGATAGCAAAGAAATAATTTGCAGTCATGTATATAATATAAATTTACTAACAACAGATATGTTTAGGTCATAACACATAGTGTGTTGGTATCATGTGCAGTAACTGTAATTTTTTTATAATTAATCTGTTACATTAGTAGCCTATAGAATCTTGTTACTGTTTATGCATGGAACCTTGCAGAGTAATTACCTTACATCTGCTATTTTGTATCTAAGGTTCGGAATTAATTACCAGTGTGGTAAATGTAAACAATCGGAACTGCATAGTATTCGCCCGGGATAACAGTCTACAGGTAAATATACATGTACTTTAGCATTGAGTGGGCTTTGTGTAAACTCGTCTAAATGGGTTCAGTTTGGTGCAAGTGTACTTACGGTATACAGAAATGGTTGTTGATTAGCGGGGACAGACAATAGCTGTAAACATCCAGCATGGCGGAAGGTATTAATTCACCAACCGTGTCCCAAAGAACATGTTAGGGGTCAAGGCAACACACAATGGGAGAACTGTTTCCGTCGATTGTCCCTTGTCTTGACAACTATATAGATGTGATCTACAATATATTACTCCCGGGAAATATACAAGTTATTGCATCCCTAATCAATAAAGAGACTATGTAAGCTTATGCAGTAGGCATATTCACTTGCTGATGTGCAACAGGTAGAAAAACTTATTTGTTTGAACGTATAATCAACTGATCGCATCATACAATTGTTTGCGTTACCTGTTTCTTGGAGATAAAATATGATATACGGATGAGTTTGACGATGCATGTAATTGTTAGATAAAAAGTATTATGAGTTTATCCACCTGATGATAAGATGGGATAAAAGAGTTTCTGGAATTCAATATAACATCCCAACGAGTAGAAAAAGACCGCCCAAATCAAGCTACCTAACAGAACGTAACACGTGCATACGACCCCAAAATGCTAGATTTTACAAAGCTTGTTATGCAATTGCATTAATTAAATATCTTGAATCCAAAGATCTTGTGTACAGCAACAACACGGCTTTCACATCTTGTTCATCTGTCTATCTGTTAGTGTTTTTGTCTGTTATGAGAAGACTTGAACTTGAATGATCCCAGCGACACGCTACATGTGTGAGGAAGAGTTATGATGGCGAGCCTGGGCTTAACAGTAGAACCGGTTTGTCGTTTTCATGACTTTATTATTTCACTCCCTGAAAATTCCAGGTCTTCTGGTTACACGCACATGTCAACCACTGTCATCACACAGCTCGGCAGGTTTGTACCTGTACAGGGGTTGAATATTCATATACAATGTATGTGACTCGCCCACCAACCTCATACATACCTAATGACCTATCTGTAGTAGTAGTAGTAGTAGTAGTAGTAGTAGTAGTAGTAGTAGTAGTAGTAGTAGTAGTAGTAGTAGTAGTTGTTGTAGTAGTAGTAGCAGTATTTAGTTTTGGTTTGGTTGTTGTTTAACGCCGCACTCAGCGATATTCCAGCTATATGGCGGCGGTCTGTAACTATTCGAGTCTGGACCAGACAATCCAGTGATCAACAGCATGGACATCGATCTACGCAGTTGGGATACGATGACATGTGTCAACCAAGTCAGCGAGTCTGACCACCCGATCCCGTTAGTCGGCTCTTACGACAAGCGTGGGTTACTGAAGACCAGTTCTAACCCGGATCTTCACCGGATTCTGGCATATGTGAATGACGAATATCATCATAGTGACTCGTGCCGCACTTATATCTATATTATAATTAGTAGGTAAATTAGAATACGGGATATTCGACAAAGTATCAGCTGGAATCGTCAAAAACAAAATTTCTCAAAGCAAAACTATTCCCCATACAGTGAGGGAGTATGTTTAACGTTGCTTTGGCAATTATTCAAGGAATGTCATGGCGGGATACACCAGAAACAAGCTTCTCACATTAAAACGTGTATGGAAAAGAACCAGGAATCCGGAGACCACTTTAACCTTTAAGCTACACCTCATTTCTTAATATATTCTTTTAACCTTAACACATACCTGTTCTTCGCGAAGCTGTTGGAGTGTTGGTCGTTGTCGGAAGTTGTCGAACGCGCTCGTGACATTCTTGTAATGGTCCGCATGGGGGAGAACCTCGTATGGGTCCCGGAAGGTCCTGTCTGACTGGAAACTGCCCCTGCTGGCTTGGCTGTACATGGAAAACACAGACATTCTCGGGGACATCAGGTAGTTGTTGTCGGGGCCGTTGGGGAACGCTCTGTCATCGGGGGCAGACAGGTAATTTGAAGGCATACTGATTATTTCCGGCTGTTCGTCGATAAGAACCGTTGAACCTTTCCGACTCGGAACAATGGAAGGTGCATGTCCGCTGTGGTCCGACCCTTGAGAATACACCGAAATCTTTCTGGGATTTGTACGCCCTGTTCGTAGGTTTTTCTCATAGATTAGATGAACCGGGTTACGTTCATGGTTTGTATGTTGGTCCATGGTGGCGTTGTCTTTGACGACATCCCGCTCCTCGTCTTTGTTATCCTCATCCTCAATTACTTCCCCAGCTTCTGAATCCGGTCCTATGATGTTGATGGTAACTGAGTTTTCTTCCCGTCCTGCTTTAACGGATGGTTTCGGGACATTAACATAGTCATGATCTTCACTATTCTCATACTCGTCATTCTTCAAATTCATGAGGACAGTTGCATCCATCTCCACCTGCCCCTTCCTCCGTGTTGGACTTGAAGGTGAAGAGGGTGCTGGCATATCTGTCACAGGGTTGGCCTTGTCTGTCTCGCATTCCTTTTCTTGACTTGCATCATGGCTTAAGTTTAAAACCGTTCTACACAGTCCGCCTTTTTCCAGCTCCATGTCAAGTGGTTGTTACCCAAGGATGAAATACTATTTCAACGGGATAAAGCCAAGGCGAATACCTTGCACATCCACAGAATGTACGACGTCCTATTGTCTCGTATTCTTGTAATTATGCCCCTAGCATCTAGAGTGACAGCCAGGCTCTCTTATATAGCCGTCTTGACGTCACGCCTACATGCATTGGAATCCCTATCTCCAGGAGGTGATAAAAATCGCCATTAAGACTCGGTGAATAATTATCTTCATATGCAAAACAGAGGACTTTTCTAACGTAAGCAATGTTCCTTGCGCATTTAGATACGAGTGTTATTTGTATGGCAGGGGTCCGGGAGGCGGCGCTAATTCATTCCTTCAGTATGGGCATCATTAATTTCTTATGTGTCACTTAGCTTTTTCACCGTGACAGATCTAGAACACTAGAGAAGCCGGTGGTCCTGTATGAATCACCTACAGGGATCTATGCATACATGTCTGATGTTATTCAACAAGTGGACGGGAGATAACACCCATGTATGATGGTGGCATAATAGGAAACAAACAATAAATGGTAATTCGATAGTCTTTACTTGATACGGATATTAGATTTGTGTTTTAGTTGATGTATTCAGCCTAGTAACGTTTCGACAACGTTTGTGAAGAAGTTGTGGTCAATCCAATCTTAACGTGTTTTCTTCCTTTCACAAAGCAGGTTTTGTCGAGGCTCCTTAGCATTTGTTATTGCATTTTTTGTACTTGTAGTACCAACTTGGGATATTAATGCTATTGATATAGTGTAATCTGAAGAAAGAGATGTGTTGCTACTGGGATTCGAACCTGCGAATCTGTACCACAGACTTCTGAATGTAGTCTTCTGCCACGGCGTCATGGACGAGACTCTGTGAAATCAACAACAATATTTACTGAAACCGTTATAAATGTGGTGCTTTCGTTGAGTTATTCTGTATATTAATGATATTGTATTCATTTATCGTGCGTGTAATGTGGTAGACTTTCGTTATCAGATCAGGACCGTGAGATAGAAGAAAAAAACACTCCATTTTTATAAGCACTATGTTTGCTCATTATAGATGGGCAAGTAATCTAAAATGATTAATAGATGGTACAAAAGCAGGTCCTGTATGGATGGCGTACTTGCACCAGGCGTGCACTTCAAAGTCGAATCGCCAAAATGGAGAAGAACGCGTGTTAAAGACACCGGAAACTCCATGTGCTTTATGTGAAGACAACCATCTCAGTGTTCTCACGGTCCGTCCACAATGCTTGAATATATACTACCGACAAGAAGACAAGGCAACTGATGAAATGATAAGTGAAGGGGAAATGACTATAAATGTCTGTAAAATTAATTTCGGTCGTGTAGATCAATATCGGATTTGTCAACCGTTTTGGGGCGATACATTTAAACGACACTTTGTGGTATACAGTTGATAAACATGGGAATTGGTGCCTGGGGTATTGCCCATCATTTCGCCGGAAGAGTAACCCTAAGTTGGGCCACGTTGGTGGGTGCTTCCACTCTTGCATACACTCTCCATCCAGCAGGGGACATAGAGAGAATCCAATGTCCATATACCTTTTCGACGAAAATAATCGGTTATTATCTGGAGACGATGTGGTCTGACGTTTTCATCTCGCAGGTCAACATTTCTGGCGATATTTCCAGCGAATGATAGAACATTAAGCAAAGTTTCGTCATTATATCTCGGGCCAGATAAATGTTCATTCACAATAACCAACATTAGTTAGCCTGTTATGTGCGATATCGCCAAAATATATATTCATGGTCAGGAATTGTTGCCCTGGCACACGTTCAGGTTTTGCTAACAGTGAATCGGAGGCAAAACCTTACAAGGTAAAGTTCCTTGTTAGAATTGATCTTCAGTAACCCATGCTTGTCGTAAGAGGCGACTAACGGGATGGGGTGGTCAGGCTCGCTGGCTTGGTTGACACATGACATCGTTTACAAATGCGTAGATCGATGCTCATGTTGTTGATCACTGGATTGTCTGGTCCAGACTCGATTATTTACAGACAGCCGCCATATATCTGGAATATTGCTGAGTGCGGCGTAAAACTAAACTCACTCACGCAATGTATACATGGTGTAACGCCACTGGTGCACAGCCTATCCATGGTGGTGCACAGCCCATCCCTGGTGGTGTACAGCCCATCCCTGGTGGTGCCTCGCCCATCTCTGGTGGTGCCTCGCCCATCCCTGGTGGTGCACAGCTGGTGGTGTACAGCCCATCCCTGGTGGTGCACATCCCTGATGGTGCACGGCCCATCCCTTGCCCATCCCTGGTGGTGCATCTGGTGGTGCTGGTGCACAGCCCGCCCATCCCCTGGTGGTGCACAGCCCATCCCTGGTGGTGCCTAGCCCATCCCTGGTGGTGCCTCGCCCATCTCTGGTGGTGCCTCGCCCATCCCTGATGGTGCACAGCCCATCCCTGGTGGTGTACAGCCCATCCCTGGTGGTGCCTCGCCCATCTCTGGTGGTGCCTCGCCCATCCCTGGTGGTGCCTAGCCCATCCCTGGTGGTGCCTGGTGGTGCCAGCCCATCCCTGGTGCTGCCTCGTCTCTGGTGTTGCCTCGCCCATCCCTGGTGGTGCCTCGCTCACCCGAGTCTTTCCTTCCGCTGATAAATCTGTTAGGGGTGACACTGTTCTCCCTGGGGCCCCCCATTGCTTTGGCGGGTGTTTTCGCGTGGAACGGACGGCCCATTTGGTAACCATAGATGTTGAAATTCGCCTTCCCATCCCTGTCATTGCACAGTTCAAATCTCTATAGAAAACAGGACCAGATTTGAATGTGTTGCTTAGTGCAGACAATGATAAGATATTGTCCAGATGTCGTATTTAAGCCCGCCACTCCCACGTCACAACACAAACCCCAGTGGTATTAAACCCATAGTCGAGAAATATACACTTTTTCACGGTACAAGTCCCACAGTCTAGAAATGTACACTTTTGATTGGCCTAATATACGTACGCAGCTTGGGACATCGTACCCACAAATTTACATATTGTAAATATTGTCTCGGAGATGTTTTCAAACGTGCGCTCAGCTCGACTGTACAGTGCGTTCATGTTACCCCCGTGCATGACGTGCATGATGTGAAATTTCATCGGGATTGTATGTTGTGTTTAAATGCAACGACATTTTTCACACAACAAAGACATCAGTATATTTGTTTAACCAATTGTGTTTGAACATTATGATTTCATCTATTAGATTCTGACTTTAGTCATGTTTTCAACAGGTTTCACGATACTGACCCCGGTGTCTGTCGCCTCAGGATCTAATTGTACTAACCAACATAAAAATAGCAATTCCAATAATCACAATGATTAATTTCTGAAACCGGGCTAGGTTCGCGCTCACAACGTGATACGACAACGCGCCTCTGGGCCCAACTGACCATTTAGAAGACAACACGCCTGTGGGGGTAACTCATTATTTCCACGATAAGCCACCTTAGACGATCCTATACATACGGCATTATGTAACTTTATAATATTCAACATGGAGGGACACATGATCAGTTATTTGTTATATTTTATTTTTCAATAGTTAGTTACACTGCTGGGACAGCATGGTAGTTACATCACGGCGTGTCCGCTATATGTGGGAGGAAAGCCCGGAGTAATGCAGGCCTTAGACGTAACCACTTTGGTGGAATCAAGGAATATGAGTGAGTGAGTGAGTTTAGTTTTACGCCGCACTCCGCAATATCCCAGCTATATGGCGGCGGTCTGTAAATAATCGAGTCTGGACCCAGACAATCCAGTGATCAACAGCATGAGCATCGATCTGCGCAATTGGGAACCGATGACATGTGTCAACCAAGTCAGCGAAACTGACCACCCGATCCCGTTAGTCGCCTCTTACGACAAGCATAGTCGCCTTTTATGGCAAGCACATGGGTTCCTGAAGACCTATTATCCCGGATCTTCACGGGTCATCAAGGAATATGGGTATGGTGCGCACTAACCATGGCACAGGGAATCTGAGATTCGCTTCCACGATCAAAGGTTTCTTGCAAACTTTAGGGATACAATTCAGTTAGAAGAATTTCTGCACCTAAGACAAGTCGTCCCTCAATGGACATACCGCATTTGTTCTGGCATCATGATAGTTGTGTATTTTTATAGACACTATTTGTATACATTTCCATTCTGTTCGAACATGTTTTTAATTCACATTATATTACGACACAACCCCCGTTTATATTGAGTCCATGTGATCGCGTAGTAGTTAAGGCGTTACCTCGTCAAAGTAAGACCCGGGTTCCTTTTCCCTTCACAAAGCCCTTTTCAATTATTACATAGCTTTAACATTGGTGCATCATTCTCCCTGTCTCCATTTCTCTTGTCTTTGCCTCGACGTGAGACTAAACGGTATAATGTCATTGAAACTTAAGGGCGGGTAGTTTGAGTTGGCAAGAACCAGGGAATGGATCCGGGGTGAGTGTATGTGTACCGAACTACGAGCCCTGGAGATATGGAGGACAGTCATTCATTAATGGGCGGCACTTTATCTCATGGTACATTACACAGTGCGTTTGATTCACGTTACGACCCGGGCAGACTATATGGTTCTGCCGTGTGAAGGAGACACATGCTTACAAAGGCATCGCGACATAATCTCTATATCCAGGGCGCCCTGTGAAATTGAGAAGCGTTCACCTCGCTTGTAGAATACCATTTTGTCCCGGAAATAACTTTAGCTATCATATCCATATACATTTATAAAGCCCTTTTCAATGCTTCTTTGAGCCGGGTAATCTGGACTTGGTAGATAATTCTCAGTCTTGAGATGGATGTATCTTTTCTCTTATTCTCTGGGAGACCGACTACCGTCGACACTGCGTAAGTACGTTCGTATTGGAACGCGGTAATGTCGTATTAAAACAATTAAATGAAGTGTGAGGTTTCTTTCCATAGATTGTCGCAAGAGGCGACTTACGTAAGCAGGTGGTCAGGCTCGCTGACTTGGTTGACACATGTCTTCGTGCCTCAATGTGCGTAGAACGATGCTCATGATATTGATCACTGATTTGTCTAGCCCAGGGAGGATTATTTACAGACCGCCGCCATATAGCTGGAATAT